TAATGTCGATTTTTTTACAACTTTTAACACTAACTTTTTAAAAACGTTTATATTACCAGCGTCGTTAATTCTATGTACTAAAGTGTTGCTTTAGAAACGGCATGCTACAAACATAAAGTGTACTTTGAAAGTAAATATAGAATTTTTAAACATTACTGCATTCATTAATATTAATATTATTCACATTTATAACTGCATGTTTCCGTTGTTGTCGCATATCAGAAAGACCTTTATGCTTGGATGAACAGTTTGCAAAGTGTGTCGGTGTGCAATCCAGCAATGGCTACTTTAATAAGAAGTCTAAGGAAACATTCTGAGCACACATTAAACGCGATTCGAAAAACTTCCGTGTTGGAACCAGGGTTTATATGTTTTGGAATTTCCAGGATACTACTGACATTTATTCAGAACTATCAATTATTCGATGTCGGGTGCTTGGAAATTTTGAAATTCAATATCACAATGTGTAAATTAATTACAAGACGTCGTATCAACAACATTACCCAAGCGCAAAAATTCGTCAATATCGTACGCGCCTACAACGATGAGGTATTACTTTGGACTAAACCAGTGTCTGTTGTAATAACTTTTGGGGTGGTGTCTACAAGCTGTGCCCTGAGCGATTTATACCAACGCAGAAAACCCTTCATGATGATGGCAGTCTTAGGAGAATTGCTGTCAGGAGTCTATTTGTTCATTTGCTATTTGTATGAAGAAGGATGTTCGGTGCAAGTTTTGGTAGGAGCCGACGTAGTTTCTATGCTGCTTGGGGGCGAAGAATTGTTTTGGACTATGTCTTGGACTTACGTAATTCAAAACACGCATCCAGAAAATCGAATTCCTCGTTTGTTGTTGCTTCAAGCATCAAGAACTGTCATCTATACGTTTAATTTTTGGTTCAGTGCAAATGTAGATTTCTCTTCCTTACAAGTTTACACGATGATTTTAATTTTTTTCTCTCTGACTCTTTTGTACGTTATTTACGTCGTAAAGGAGAAGAGACCCGAGCAAGAGCTGCGATGGGATAAATCAGTATTTAAAAAAATTCTGATTTGTAGCGTTATTGCAGAGGCTATAGGCCACTTGACGAAAATTTCGGCGAAGAAATTGTTTATTTTGGTAGCTGGATATATAATTTTGTTTGCAAAGAATTCTTGGTCTGATGGTTTATCTTGAATGTTTTGTTTAAGGGCAAAAACATACTGATTGTGTAAATTTCCGTAACGATACTGAAATTTTCGGCATGTTTTTGCCCTTACGATATTTATTTAATTTCATATTTTAGGAGAATATGGTAACATCCTCGTTACTTATATTTACGGGATACTAGCTTGGCCATATGAGAAGGTAGTCTATTTAATATACTGTCAATACGGTGCTGCAGCAATAAGTAAGTCAACCAATAACACTGTCACTGAATCCTTTAAATAATCATTTTTAGTTATGATCATTGTTAGTTTCATATCAAAGAAATTTCAACTGGACGGCTACACGATTCTGATTTTCATTTATCTCAACAAAATTTTTGGAAATGTTGTTATAGCGTCCGTTTCAAATCAAGTGATCATATTTATAGGTATGCAGATTCTATATTTTAAGTAGAAGTTCTCATATCCATAAAAACGTCGTTTTTAACTTGTAGTGATAAAGTTTCAGCTATTTCTAGTATAACTACAATTTATATGGAAATTGTTGTATACGTAGCAGTTGTATCAAAAATGGTCTCGTCGGGAAACATTGGAAAATTACAGTTGTTGTTTATTATGAATGAGATGCTGGAGCCTTTAAGCCATGGAATATCTTCAGTAATTTTTAACGAACTTCTTAGTGATAAATATGCCCCCAACACATTTCTTTATTTGGGAGCTTTTATTTATTTTGTTTGTCTTATTGTAGTGACGTAAGTATGTTCTGCGTAATTAAAAATACACAAATTGATTTTTTATTTTAGGATTCTATTATGGCACAAAAAGAAACATTTGAATGACGTACACATTTTCAAGTTTAAACCTTAAGTTAAATATGGGTTTACAGTTCTACCATTGTTTAAGTATATTATAGTTGGACAACCTATACGGACAATCACTTTCCCATGTAGAAAAGAATGAACATATATTTTCATCTCACTCGCTTCACTATGAAGTGGCGGTACCTTACGAAAGGGAGTAAAAATAGTCTGTAAGCACGTGATGTCGATAAGGTAGTAAACGGACGTATTAGTCAGTACGTTGTACGGGTAGCAGTCACAAAATAAGCAAACCTACGTGTTGAGGACTTTACATATATGTAATATATTGTAATATGTCACGCAGTAAATCCTCGAAATCGAATAATAAAAAAATCAAAAAAATAAAAATTGGAAAATCTAAAATTTAAAAATCGAAAAATTGAACAATCGGTTAATTCAAAAATCCAAACATCGAAAAACTGGAAAATCGAAAAATAAAAAAAATTGGACAATCGAAAATTTAAAAATTCCGAAAATTGAAAAATTGAAATATAGAAGAACTGAAAACTCAAAATATCGAAAAAAACTAATAATTTAAAAATTGAAAAGTTAAAATTGAGAAATCGAAAAACTGAAAAATCACAAAATTGAACGAAATATTCAAAAATTAGGGAATTAAAAAATTGAGAAACAGAAAAGTCAAAAAAGCAGAGTCGAAAAATCGCAAACTTAAAAAATCGAAAAATTGAAAAATCAAAAACCTGAATAATCGAAAAATTGAAGAACTGAAGAACTGAAAAATCGAATCTTTGGGAAATGGAGAAATGGGAGTATAAAAAAATAACATTAATTGAGAAATCCGAAAACTAAAAATTCAGAAACGTCAAAATTTGAAAAATAAAAAAATATTGAAGAACTGAAAAATTGAAAAATCTAAAATTTAAAACATTGAAAAGTTAAAATATCCTAAAACTGAAAAATGGAGAAATCCAAACATCAAAAAATCAAAAAAATAAAAATTCGAAAATATAAAATTTAAAAATCGAAAAAGTGAAAAATCAACGAATCGAGAAGTCGAAAATTGAAAAAAATTGGAAAATTGAAAAATCGGATAAATCAAAAATTGAAAAATCGAGAAACCGAAGAGCAAAAAATCGAAAAAGCGAAACATCGCAAAATTCAAAAATTGAAAAGTTGAAAAATTGAGAAATTGAAATATAAAACAATCGAAAAATTGAAAAAACGAAAGTACAAAAAATGAAAACCTGAAGAATCAAAGAATCGAAGTATTGAAAAATATCAAAACTGAAATAAATGTCCAAAAATTGAGAAATCGAAAAACCAATAAAACGAAGTCGAAAAATCGAAGAATTGAAGAACTGAAAAATCGAGAGAAGTGGGAAAATCAAAAATAGATTCTTTGAGAAATCAGAAAACTGAAAATTTAACGTAAAAATTTGAAAAATTGAAAAATTTAAATCCTGAAGTTAACTGAAAAGTCAAAAAATCGAGAAATCGAAAAATCTAAAATTTAAAACATTGAACAATTAAAATATCGCAAAACTGAACAATCGAGAAATCCAATTCAATTTAAAAAATTAAAAAATTGAAAAATCGGGACATTGAAACATTGGAAAATCCAGAAATTGAAAAGCTCAAAAGCAAAAAATCGAAAAACCGAGAAATCCAAAGATCGAAACATCGAAAAATTCAAAAACTGAGACATCGAGAAATCGAAAAATCGGAGGATCGAGAAATGGAGGAGTCGGAAGCCGAAAAGGAAAGTTAAAAATTGAAAAGTTGATAAATTGAGAAATTGAACAATCAAAACAACGAAACATCTGAATTCGATAAATTGAGAAATTAGAAAATTGAATAATCGAAAAATTTTAAAAAAGAAAAACTGGAAAATCGAAAATTAAAATTAAAAAAATCGAAAAATTGAAATATAGAAGAATTGAAAACTTGAGATATCGAAAAACCTAGAATTTTAAAAAATGAAATATTAAAATATCGAAGAGTTGAAAAATTGAGAAATCGAATATAAAACAGTCGCAGAATTGAAAAATCTAAAGTTTACAATAAATTGAAAATCCAAAAAGTAAAAAATCGAGAAATCAAAAAAAATCCTTCAATTCAAAAATCGAAAAGTCGAAAAATTGAAATATTGATAATCTCGTAACTGAAAGAAATATTCAAAAAATTGAGAAATTAAAAAATTGGAAAATTGAGAAATCGAAAATCAAAAAAAGCAAAATCGAAAAATCGTATGCTTAAAAAAATTGAAGAATTGAAGATGTGAAAAATCGAAAAACCGAAAATTTAGAAACGTGAAAATTTGAAATATTTAAAAACCGTAAAATTGAAGAGGACAAAAATTGAGAAATCGTATCATTGAAACATCGAAAAATAAAAAAATCGAGAAATGGAAAATTTGAAGAATGGAAGAATTGAAAAAGCCCAAAATTGAAATATTGAAAAATTGAGACATTTAAAGTTATACTTAAACAATGGTTCTACACATAATCCCCCGAAAGTCAATTCAAACGCGCATCCTTAACTAATCAAAAAATAGGTCACTTGATGTTGCTAGCTACAGTTGTGGAATCATAATTCACAAGTTTATTAATGGATCTGATCCAACATAAAATGTGTAATAAATCGATCACAAGTTTTTGTTTTGTTTTAATTACCTTGTAGTAAAAAAAATGGCAGGACGAAAAAGTGTCCAAAAATATTGCGCTAGAAAGAATAATCTCTTTGTATTACGGGACAAAGTTTTGAGTAAGATATTATTAAAATTATCTTCCTAGATACCAATGCCACATTACGTATAATTAGAGACAATAAACATGACGTAATTATTTTGTTGATTAAAAATATTTTCAAAACAAAAATAGCCATTAGTTAATGATCCAACATACGCATTTATTATTACCCGTGATGTATTCGCGCGATTAATTTAATTAGTTAATTACTCATTGTCCAACATTTTTTATCTTTGTACTATGTTCATTTATGCGGAAATTTCCCCACAATCATGCTCTTTTTACCACACCATCCAAAGATTCCAAAGTTCAAACAATCACGGCGATCATCACTCGAATCTCATCTCACCTCGCGGAATGTCATCTTTTTTACGTTTCTTCTGCAATATCCTTAAACTTTCAAAGCCGCCAAACAGGTTCTCGTGAGAACCTCTCAGTAATACCGCGCAATCATCAAAAACAGCATGCCCAAACAAAAACAGTGAAGTGACTCCTAAAAATGGCTTCTACGGCCGATCTAGTGACCGAATCCGTGGCGGATTTCCGCCACAAAAACCAAAAAACCTTCAAACAACGCCTTTTGTACGTGAAGGAAGTGATCACAGTCGAGCCGCTGATCGCCGCTTATGTGATGGCGGCGATTATTTGCGCCCCAGCGTTGTACAACCTGGAGTTCGAAAAGGGGTGTAGAGCCGACTTGGGGTTGAACGATAGTGTCTGCGACGCGATTTTGAGCGGGGAAAGCCAGAATTACACCGAGGAGAACGACAAAATACAGATTCTGATTGGAAACATGCATTCTTGGCAGCTGCCTCTTCAGAGTGTGATGCCACTGATTTTGGTGCTGTTTCTAGGGTCATACAGCGATAGACACAAGTTACGCAAACCCTTTTTGCTGATACCGATTTTCGGGGAGTTCTTCGCGGTGGCTGGATGCATTTTGTGTGTTGTGTTTATGAAGGAGTGGCCTCTAGCGGTACAGGGTATAGCTCAGACAGTGGTGCCATCTTTCTTCGGGGGACAAACGATGGTAGTGATGGCTGTTTTTGCGTATATTGCTGACGTGAGTACCCTGGAGATGCGTACACTTAGAGTTGGGGTGGTACAAATAGTTTTGAATATTTGTACGCCAGTGGGGCAATCCGTCAGTGGAATTTTGTTTGATAAGATTGGCTACTATGGCGTTCTGTCAATCGCCGCAGGGTGTTACTTGTTTGCTGTGGTATATGGCATTTTCTGTATCAAAGAACCGAAGAAACCTGACGTCGTTTTGAAGAAGTCGTTCCTTGTGGATGCGTTCGACCCCAAACATGCAATCGACACTTTTGGGTTACTTTTCAAGACGGGTGGTGGCAATAATCGACTGGATCTAGTGGCTGTGTTGGTTATCTTGTTTGTTTATAGTACGGTGGTTACAGGTTGGTACTCCTGTCAAGTTTAATGTAATTTGACTGAAGTGCCGTAGGTGAGGGGGTCGTTTTCTACTTATACGTTCAAAAATTCTTCGCGTGGACGCCACTGGAGTACAGTTATTTCATAACTATTAACACTGTCATCCATTTAGTAGGTACGTAAAAGTCGCGTAAAAATGGCGATCAGTGTCACCAACTTAACTCTTTTACTGACAGGAACATTTATCGGGGTTCCTCTATTCACGAAGTTTCTAGAAATGGGGGACTTGATGATTCTGGTGGCTACGTTCGTCGATAAGATTCTCTCTAATATTGTTTTCGGTTTGGCGCAAACCGTCAGCATGTTATACGTTGGTATTAATTAGTGTTTTTTTATTTGTTGTGTTGTTAATTTAGTGATTTTTAGCTTCTGCTGTTAGTATTATTACTGGTATTTCCCCGATTGCTATCAGGTCGTTGGCTACCAAAATCGTCTCTCCTGATGACTTAGGCAAGGCTCAGTCTTTGTTTGGAATTTGCGAAGCTATAGGTCCTGCAGTTGCCGCTCCTTTGTATAATGAACTCTACTTGAAAACTTATAATACGTTACCGGCAGCTTATTTTTATTTTGGGGCAATTGTATACGCCCTGTGTGTGTTTGCGGTCATGTAAGTACTTACATGTAGCGCTACACTTACAAAATATTAACTGTATTTTGGATAATCTTTTTCAGATGGATGTACTTCGTGAACAAAATGAAGCAAAATAAAGTGCAAACGGAAACGCCAAATGTTATGAATGGAAAATCTGACGAAGTGCAGATGACACATATATAAATATTAATTATTATTGATATTAATAATTAACTGTACATTAAATTGTTCTGTTATTACTAATAAAATGTTACTTTTTATGTTGTGGCATTTATTGTGTAATAAGTGTTGCCTAAATTACGCAATATGACAATTTTGACATGAAATTTTAGTCTGGGGACTTTTCAGTTTACTCCTATTTATTTTTCAATTTTTGGATTTTACAATTTCTCAATTTTTTAATTTCTCGGTTTTCAGTTTTTTTCTTCAATTTTTCGATTTCTCAATTTTTCGATATTTCAATTTTGGGATTTTTCAGTTTTTCAATTCGTCAGTCTTTCTTTCATTTATTAGTTTTTCGATATTTCAGTTCTAGGATTTTTCAATATTTCTGTTATTCGACTTTTCCATTTTTGAGTTCTGGATTTTTCGATGTGTCGACTTTTTTGTTTTTTCGATTTTTAAATTTTAGATTTCTCAATTTTTTGGTATTTAAATTTTTCAATATTTAAAATTTTAGATTTTTCGATTTCTCGTTTTTTCGTTTCAGCTCTTCAATTTTTCAAATGTTTCGATTTCTTGATCTTTCGAGTTTTCGACTTCCCGGTTTTAGATTTTCTGTTTTTCAATTGTCGTTTTTTCAATTTTTCGATTTTTAAATTTTAGATTTTTCGATTTCTCAATTTTTCATTTCAGTTTTTCGATATTTCAGTTTTTTAAGTTTTCGAATTTTTCAAATGTTTCGATTTTTCAATTAATCGATGTTTTGATTTTCCCATTTCTTGACTTTCGAGGGTTTCGATTTTTCAGCTTTTTGATTTTTGATTTTTTAATTTTTTTAAGGTTTCAATTTTTCGACTTCACGTTTTGGATTTTTCTATTGCTCAATTTTTCGACTTTTTAGGTTCTCAGTTTTTGGATATTTCAGTTTTCGGATTTTTCAGGTTTTCCATTTTTCAGTTTTTCGATATTTCAGTTTTGGAATGTTTCAATATTTCGATTCTTCGACTTTTTGATTTTTGGCTTCTGGAGTTTTCGATATTTTTTTACATTTTCAATTTTTCAATTTTTCGATTGCTTAATCTTTCGATTTTTCGACTTCCCGGTTTTAGATTTTCTGTTTTCAATTGTCGTTTTAAATTTTTCGATTTTTCAATGTTTTGATTTCCCGATTTAGTTTCCCATTTTCAGTTTTTCTTTCATTTTTCAGTTTTTCGATATTTCAGTTTTGGGACTTGTCAATATTTCGATTCTTCGACTTTTCGATTTTTGACTCCTGGATTTTACTTTTTCGATTTTTCAATTTTTCGATTTTTAAATTTTAGATTTTTTAATTTTTAAAATTTTAGATTTTTCTATATTTCAATTTTTCAAGTTTTCAAATTTTTCAAATGTTTCGATTTCTTAATCTTTTGATTTTTCGACTTCCCGGTTTTAGATTTTCTGTTTTTCAATTGTCATTTTGTCAAATTTTCGATTTTTTAATTTTTCAAATTTGACTTTTATAAACTCTCAGTTTTTCGATTTTTCAATTAATCGATATTTTGATTTTCCCGTTTCTTGACCCTCGAGTGTTTCGATTTTCCTGTTCTTCAATTCTTCAATTTTTTGATTTTTCAGGTTTTTGATTTTTCAATTTTTAAGGTTCCTAATTTTCGACTTCACTTTTTTGATTTTTCGATTTTTCAGTTTTTAGATATTTCAGTTTTAGGATTTTTCAATATTTCAGTTCTTCGGCTTTTCTATTTTGACTTCTGGGTTTTTCGATGTGTTTACCTTTTTACTTTTTCGATTTTTCAATTTTTGGATTTTTAAATTTTAGACTTTTCAATCTTTTGATATTTTAATTTTTCAATATTCCTTAATCTTTTTGTTTTTGACTTCCTGGTTTTAGATGTTCTGTTTTTCAATTTTTCGATTTGTTAATGTTTCATTCCCGATTTATCGTGATTTGATTGTTCAGGTTTTCGATTTGTCATTTTTTCAATTTTTTATTTTGGCCTATTTCGGTTTCTCAGTTTTTCCAGTTTTCCATTTTTTCGTTTTTTGATTTTTTCGCTTTTCCAATTTTTCAACTTTTAACTTTTTGTTTGTCGATTTCTCTATTGTTCGATTTTTCGACTTCATTACTTTTCGATTTCTCGTTCTTTGGACCTTTCAGTCTTTCAATTTTTCAATTTTTCGAATTTTTAAGTTTTTTGGTTTAATTGTCAATTTCTCAATTTATAAATTGTTCAATTTTTTAAATTTTCGATTTTTCGTTTTTAACCAATTTAGGTTTCTCAATTGTTCGACTTTTCGACTCCACGATTTCTCGATTTTTCCTTATTCGGTTTTTAAATTGTAGATTTTTAAATTTTACATTTTTTGGATTTTCAGTTCTTCGATATTTCGATTTTTCAATGTTTCGGTTTTACGACTTTTTAGGTTTCGAGTTTTCGATTATTAGATTTCTAGATTTTTCGAATTTTGTATTATTTTAATTGTTCATTTTTTCTCACTGTTAATATCATACAGTGTATCGAAAACAACCACAAAAATTGTCACTAAAAACATTAAAAAAAAAATCATACAAAATAGAACACAGTGTTTCCAAAACGTTTTCCCGAAAAAAATCCATTGGGTTATTGCGATTTCAACAGTATTCTTTGTTTAATTCACTTATTAGTCGTTATAAAAACCGACCAAACAACTATTTCCCGCCAAATTTACGATTAAAAAGTGGTGTTTCAATAGAAATGGCAAAGACTACAGTTATGATTGTTACCCTACTACGCAAAAAGTTAAATCCGCCCCTGGTCCTGATTTTATTAAAATGAACAACAAGTAGGCTATCAATTGTTGACAACTTTGACATTACAGCCAACGCCTACTCCGGGCAATCTTTCGCACAAGCGAAAAACCAGTTATTCCGTTAAAACCCATGTACCAAAAAAACGAACCCGATCGATCGGGTACATTTTTTGATCTTTTTAAATTTTTGCGTCATCTGGGCATGCTCCCTGGCGCCTGCCACCACGTATCCGCCCCGAATCCGCCATATTGCAGCTGTCACCGGCAGCTGTCACTGCCTGTAGTCGGTCTTGTGAAGTAATTCTGTGTTTTATCGTGTGATTTTATTTGTACCCCCATGGGGGACTCTTTGGAAGGGAGTGAGTCCACTCCCGAGCCTCAAAATGTGACCATTGTCGATTTTAACGCCTTTACGAATTTTTTAACAAAAGCCGCAACGGTGCTCCTCCCTGAAGACAACCAATGGGAATTAACGAATCTTCGGGCAGCCCTCGACGACAAAGTCAATCAAGAAATAATCCGGAAGTTCCTGGCGGATTCCCAGGTGTCCATTCTTTATTTACAGAGGAGTCCTTCGAAAGGTATGAGTAATAACTGACCTTGAACTCGTTCGAGATGACTGATCATGTATGTACAGTGTGTGCCTAAAGTGTTGAACACATTCAGATCTCTGATTTTAAATTCTTGCAGATGATGACAGCGACCAGCCTCCAGAGGGCGAGGAGGAGAAGGAACCCGTCACCTTCTACATCAGCAACGAAGTGCACTACTCCAGCTCGAAGATGTCCAGCCTCGTCTGCATCAAGCGCGGTGCCGTCATCGAGGCCGACAAGAGCATCCGAGCCCAGGTGCGCCTGATGAACTTCAGCGACGGCTCCCCGTACGAAATCCTCCACTCCTACATCAGTAAAACCGTGGCTCCGTTTTTCAAATCCTACGTTAAAGAATCGGGTCGTGCCGACCGCGACGGCGACAAGATGGCGCCCTCGGTCGAGAAGACCATCGCCGAGCTGGAGATGGGGCTGTTGCACCTCCAGCAGAACATCGACATCCCGGAAATCACGCTCCAGGTGCACCCCTACGTGGCGAGCTTGATAAAGCAGTGCGCCGACGAGGGCAGGAAGCCCAAAGTGGCCGATTTCAGCGACAAGGTGGAGGATTCGAACTTTTTGAACCAGCTGCAGCACGGCGTCAATCGCTGGATCAAGGAGATCCAGAAGGTGACGAAATTGGATAGGGACCCGTCGTCGGGGACGGCGTTACAAGAGATTAGTTTCTGGTTGAATTTGGAGAGGGCGCTGCATAGGATACAGGAGAAGCGGGAGAGTATGGAGGTGGCTTTGACCCTGGATATCTTGAAACATGGGAAGAGGTTCCATGCGACGGTGTCGTTCGATACGGACACGGGGCTCAAACAGGCGATTGCGACGGTCAATGATTATAACCCCTTAATGAAGGTGAGATAATTAATAATAATAATAATAATAATAATAATTTATTGTCTGTAAGGGCTGCGTACAATTGCAATCATTAGACTTGTCAAATTTAATAATTAATAATATAAAAAATACAAAAAACAGAGATGCACATATAAACGTACAATCGCACGCAAATGTTTTGAGCCTATGGGCGGATCGTTTTTGTCTGCCCTCACCGAAGAAGGCGGTCCAAATCCTTCAAGGGCAGAATTTGTAGGTAGGCTCAAACTACAACGAAATTCACATTTTACCCTATAAAATTTTATTGACAATAACGGGACGGACAGTAGTTCTATATATATTTGGTAAGAAATATTTATGGCTTACACCAGTTCTCTCGAATTTGTCGGAGAAGATTTAGCAGGTAGTTGTTCCCATAAAATAATGGTCACTTTCGTTCGTGAGTAACGATGGTCCGGACATGAATTATTTTGCTTTCTAACATCTTTCGACCAATTGTTCCGTATAAAAAATTTCATCACTTTTTCAAATAAAATACTCTTAAAAAAAAAACGATATTGTCGTTGAGTGACATGTAACTGGCATAATAATAAAAACGTGCCATTTTTGTTAACTGATATTTTTTTCATAAATGTCGCAAAATTATTAAATTTGTCTAATCATCCCCACCAATGTGATGACGTCACTTCAAATTTATGCATAGTAAATGGGTTTTAAATTGTATACAGTAACATAGTCCTACACATGTAGTTTATGACTCCGTGTTGAGTTTTTATCCAAAACGTCCAGATTTTTGGAAAAAAAATCAAAATTATAAAACAATATTTTGCAATTTAATTTTGAATTTGCAAAATCGAATACTTTGAAATCTTGCAGATGTTTTAAAATCATGATAAACATGATACATTTTTAATTAAAATATATTTGTGTATCCCCTCTAAAAAATTTATGACGTCACCTCAAAATTTTGCAGAATAAATCCTATCTTAAATGTATAAAATATGATGAGTTTTATACTTGTTATATCACTGCATTCATATTTTATAGATTTGGTTATACAGGGTGTCTCAAAAAAGTTAATGACTGAGTCAATTTATTTTATTGAAGAAATCAAGAATAGCAAAACTGAATACTTTGAAATATTGTATATGTTTTGAAGTTTTTGTAAGCATGGTAACTCTTTCGAAAATTTGATTAATCAAATATGCGCAAAATCAAAAATCGGAAAAACTGAAATTCACTAATGCAAAAAACAGAAAATCGAAAAATACAAATCGTAAAAATCGAAAATCTAAAAATGGCTAATCAAAAAATCGAAAATTCAATGAATCAAATACCTAGGTCGATCGAAAAGTGGAAATTCACAAACCTCAAAAATCGAAAAATCGAAAATTGAAAAACGGGAAAATCAAAAAACCGAAAAGTCAAAAATTTGTAATATTGAAAATTAAAAAAATCGAAAACAAAAATAAAAAAATCGGAAATTAAAATAATCAAAATATATAAAGTAAAAACAATTGCAATGCCTAAAAACTGAAACGAACAGAAAAATCGAAAAAGCAAAAAATTGGAAAAACAAAAATTCGAAAAATCTAAAATCGAAAAAGTGGAAAATGGAAAATCTGAATAAAGAAACTTGAAAATTCTGAAAATTGGTAAATCGAAAACCAAAAAATCGGAAAGTAACAAAATCTAGTCTAACAGTTGCGAATGGAAAAATTGAAAAACCGAAAATTCTAAAAGTCGACAATGGACAAATTGAAAATCGCAAAATTTAAATTAAAAAATTGAACATAGAAAAATTGATGAATTGAAAAATCGAAAACTCGACTACTCAAATTTTTTAAAAATCGAAAAATCATAAAACTGAAAAATCCAAAATTCTAATCATCGAAAGTCTGAAAACTGAAAATCGAAAATTCTGAAAAGCGGAAAATAGAATATCGAAAAATTTAAAAGAAAGAAAATTGAAGTCTAAAACCCGAAGAATGGAAAAATTAAAAATCAAAAATTCGGAAAATCAAAACCGAAAAATTCAAAGATTTAAAAAGAAAATCGAAAAATCAAAAATCTGAAAATTGAAACTCGAAAATTTGGAAAATCGAAAAGTAAAAAAATTGAAGTCTAAAAGCTGACGAACAGAAAAATCGAAAAATCGTAAATTCAAAAAGTGGAAAATCGAAAACTGGAAATTGAAAAATCGAAGATTGGAAAATCGAAAATCGGAATATCGATAATCGACAAATTAAAAAACCGAAAAATCGAAAAATTAAAAAATCGGAAATCGAAAAATGAAAAAAAAACGAAAATTCAAAAATCAAATAATCCGAAACTAAAATAATAGAAAAGTGGAAAAGTAAAAATTGCAAAGTCTCAAAACTGACGAACAGAACAATCGAAAAATAAAAAAAAATCGAAAATTCGAAAAATCGAAAATTCGATGAAACAAATACTCGAAAAAGCGAAAAGTTAAAAAATTGCAAGGCCTAAAAATTGAAAAATCAAAAAATCGAAAAAATGAAAATCGAAAAAACGACGATGGAAAAAAAATAAAAAAAACGAAAAGTGGAAAATCGGAAAGTAACAAAATTGAAATCTAAAAGCTGCAAATTGCAGAACCATAAAAACTGAAACAAACAGAAAAATCGAAAAACCACAAAAGCGGAAAAACGAAAATCGAAAAATCGCAAATCGAAAAATCGTAAAATCAGAAAATAGAAAATCGAATAATCGAAAGTTGAAAAATCGAAGGTCGAAAAATAAAACAACCGAAAAAAATTTTATGATTAATGGAAAATGGAAAAATCGAGATAAGAAGAATTAAAAAACCGGAAAATTGAAAAATCGGAAATCGAAGAATTAAAAACGTAAAATCGAGAATTCAAAAATCATAAAAATCGGAAAGTAAAATATAATCGAAAAATGCAAAAAAATTGCAAAGTCTAGAAATTGACGAACAGAAAAATCAAAAAATCTAAAAATGGAAAGACGAAAAATCGAAAATTGAAAGAATGGCAAATTAAAAAATCGAAACACCGAAAAATCAAAAAACGAAAAATTAAAAAATCGAAAAACGAAAAAACTGAAAACTCGAAAAATCAAAATACCGCAAATTTGAAAAATCAGAAAATTAGAAAGCGTCGTCTTCGTTGATTCACTATTAAAGTCTCTCCAATCCCCCACTTTTTGACACAATTTGACATCATGTATTACAGTTTTTACTTGAAAAAGAGGAAAAATTTCGGTACCGGTGCCAAAGTCACAACGCCATGGGCGTGGATGGTCTGCAAAGGGATATGCAGTAGGAAAGTTTTTCTTTGAGGTGTTTACATTGTTATCGGAATGTGTCTCAGGAATTATGAAGCTGCATTCTGGATCACGTTTAGTACTTGCTGGGGAGCTTGAAGAAGTAGGCACAGGTAGCGGTGACTTAGAACCATGGAGGAACAAAGTAGGAACAGAGCCGGGTTTAAGTCTTTTATTTGTATAATAACAACTTCTCTCAAAGTGTTTACCACAAATGTATAAATTATTTGCAATATTATCACCTGAAATGGTTTTAATGGCTACACATTCCCTTAGGTAAAAGATTCATGTGGGGGTACCTACTTGTAGCATTAAAAACCTTTTTGCACCACAACCTTTTGTTCACAGTGTTTGAAGGGAATCTTTGCATTATTTTGTGGTCTCTAGGATCCTTGATTACCCCACAAGCAGACACAGAGCAATATTTTTTGGACATTTTGATAATATCAATTCAAGCACAAACTGTTTTGGCGCGTGATAAAACAGATTCATTGCAGGTTCCTGTAACTCCCGAAGGGAGTGACATCTTTTGATATTTTCCCTTTTGACAAGTCGGACGATTGTAACCAATTGGAGAGACTTTAATAGTGAATCAACGAAGACGACGTTAGAAAGTAATAAAATCGAAAAGTTGATAGAAAAATGGAAACTGAAAAATCTAAAATCGAAGTGACGATATTTCTTAGCCATATTTTTTTGTATGATTGATTGATCTCTGCGCTCTAGAATATGAAAAAAGCTGCAGTTTGATGTATGATACATCTATATTAATGTCATTTTTTCATACAAAAAACCAAAAAAATGTTATACCTCGTCTAGCGAGTCCCCTTAAGGATGCTATATCATTAGATGTAACAATTGCGGATGAATCATCTGCAAATAGTCGTAATGAATAGTTCTTTTGGGAATGTATACAATCATTAATAAAGATTATAAAAAGGAGCGGGCCCAATATGCTGCCCTGAGGTACACCGGTGCTAATGGCTTTTTTATCTGATAAATATGGTCTCTGATTGTAAGTAACTTTTACCACCTGTTGTCCTGTTAAATAATTTTTTACCCATTGTAAAACTACACCTCTGATTCCGTATGCTTCCAGTTTATCACATATGAGGTTACGATTCAAAGTATCAAATGCACGGCTTAGGTCAAAATATATCCCTACTACTTTCTTTTTATCATCTAAAGAATCAAATATCTCCATTAACTTTGACACAATAGCATCTTGTGTTCTTCCTCCTTTTTTAAAACCAAATTGTTTGTCACTTAGAATATTGTGTCTTTCTATGAAGGAATATAATCTACGATAAAAGGCCTTTTCAAAAATTTTTGAAAAAATTGACAACAATGCAACAGGTCTGTAATTATTCATTTTTGATGTATTACCTTTTTTATGTATAGGTACAATTATTGCTGTTTTGAGCTCATCTGGGAAAATTCCCGTACTAAATGAAGTATTTATTAAATTTGTTAACACAGTTATTGTGGTTTCAGGAACATATTTTAATAAATAATACGGTATCCCATCTAGTCCTTTCGATTTTTTATTAGCCACAGATGAAATAACGTAATATACATCTGGTATTACTACAGGATCTAAAAACATTGAGTATCTATCAAATGGAATATTTTGTAGTCTATTTGTGTTATCATTACGGGTATTTTTAAAAGTTTTTGTTATATTCTGTATTGAATTAATAAAAAAGGAATTGCATCTATTTGCTACATTTAAACAACCTGTTATATTTTCATTTTCAGATTTTTATAATGTGTCTGGTAAATTATTTATTTTGTTATTAGGACGATGCGAATTTATTATTTTCCAAGCATCCTTACCTATATTCATCGATGTTTTTAGAATATTGTCATAATAATCTTTTTTTGTTTTTTTTTTTGACTAGAATTTTATGTTGATTTTGAAGGATCTTGTAGTGTTTTAGAACCTCAGGGTAAATTTTTGTGATTTTATGCATATCTTGTAATCTTCGGCTACTGGCAATAATTTCATTATTAAGCCAAGGTTTTGGGTGGATGTTTTTTTTATATTGATTTCTTTTTCTTGGTTGGGAACTCCAAATCAAAATAGTAGTCAAATAGTTGAAACATTTTTTGGAAGTTTTTTGGTCCCGAATTGTTATAAACGTCACTCCATGATTCCGATTATAACAGATTCTTAAATTTTTCTATATTTTTTTTTGAGAAATTTCTTTTATAAACTATGCATTTTTTATTGTCGTTTAATTTATTAATTAAACCATTAATTTGGAGCAACTGCCCGTAATGATCTGTGATATCGTTTTCGATGATATTAGTACTGGCTTTGTTGAAATTGTTCGATCAATGGTTGTTTTTGACTTACCGCAGACTCTGGTCGGTTCAAAGACATATTGTTCTAGACCATATGGTGATAAAGTATCAAAAGTCCCCACACAGGACTGTTTTCGTAGCTGGTTTATGAAGCTTTTTCAACAGGTCCTCAAGTTGCAGCATAGAAGCCCTACAATCTCCTCCAGACCTGTAAATACTTATTATAGTAATTGCACATTTGCTTAAATTTAGTTTGATGCAACAAACTTCAAACAATTTCTCACGTGCAAATTTTTTTACGTCAATCTCCTCAAAGAATAAATCCTTACGTACTAAAATAATAACACCTCCCCCCTGTTGTCCAGAACGGCAGAAATGAGCTCCGACCTTATATCCGTCAAATCGAAGTTCGTTTACTTCTTCTGTTGACAGCCATGACTCAGTGAAGCACAACACTTCAGGAAAATCCAACTCGTACACATATATATTTAGTTCGTCAACTTTGTTGCGTAAACTCCTTACATTAAAGTTCAATATTCTCAAGCGCTGGCTCGAGTCGTCATTGTCTTCTCGATGGTTTGGGGTACGATCTTTTATCCTGTCTGGTTTATGATTTTTCTCGGATGAAAAAACCGGGATATTTGAGCTCCTTTAAAATCCCACTAGACATTTTGTGACTCCTTTTCATACTTTCTAGGACTTCCCAATCAACGACCTTCTGTCCGCCACCGAATTGGAACGAATCCGCGCCGCAGTCCAGCTGATCTTCGCCCATCTGCGCAAAATCCGCTCCACCAAATACCCAATCCAGCGTTGTCTCCGTCTGGTCGAAGCTATTTCCCGCGATTTAGGCGCTCAGCTGCTAAAAGTCCTCGGAACACGAAGACTAATGCACATCCCGTTCGACGAATTCGAGAAAGTCATGACCCAGTGCTTCGACGTCTTCACCATCTGGGAGGACGAGTACGAAAAACTGCAGGCTTTGCTGAGGTACTAAGTGCGAATCAGTGACCGTTTACCCACACTTGCTTGAATCTGACTTTTTCCGCAGAGACATAATCAAGAAGAAGCGCGACGAACAGATGAAAATGGTCTGGCGCATTTCTGCTCAGCACAAGAAACTGCAGAACCGCATGGAGCACATGCGTAAGTTCCGTCGTCAACATGAGCAGCTGCGCACTGTCATCGTGCGCGTGCTGAGGCCGTCGGTGCGCGACACTAGCGCCCCGGTCGAAGGAGAGGACCTGGAGCAGTCCAAGCCGACGTTGTCGCTGGACGCGGCCGACGCCAACGCCATCGAGGAGGTCAATCTGGCGTACGAGAACGTGAAAGAGGTGGATTGTCTGGACATCACGAAGGAAGGCCAGGACGCGTGGGATGCGGCGGTCCAGCGGTACGAAGAGCGAATCGATAGGGTGGAGACCAGGATCACGGCGCACTTGAGGGATCAGTTGGGTACTGCAAAGAACGCGAACGAGATGTTCAGGATTTTTTCGCGCTTCAATGCGCTGTTCGTGCGGCCGCATATCAGAGGGGCGATCAGGGAGTACCAGACGCACTTGATTCAAAGGGTGAAGGACGATATTGAGGCCCTGCATGAGAAGTTTAAGGTAAATTCAAAATTAGTGTCCTGGATTCAAAAATGACTTTAAATTGTTTGATAGGTCCAGTACCCCCAGAGTAATAGTGCGAGGATTAGTAAGGTAAGGGACTTGCCTCCGGTCGCCGGGTCGATTATATGGGCACGACAGATCGATCACCAGCTAACGACTTACCTCAGGAGGGTCGAAGATGTGTTAGGTGAGTGACATTACTATTATTCAACTTAAATTTAAAAACTATTTTTACAATGTAACGTAGGTAAGGGCTGGGAGAACCACATCGAGGGTCAAAAACTGAAAGCCGACGGTGACAGTTTCCGTATCAAGCTCAACACGCAAGAGATCTTCGACGATTGGGCTCGCAACGTCCAGCAGCGCAATCTAGGGGTGACGGGACGCATTTTCACTATCGAAGCCGTGCGTTCGAAGAGCGGGCGCGGCAACGTGCTGAAATTGCGGGTCAACTTCTTGCCCGAAATTATCACCCTGGCTAAGGAAGTGCGCAATTTGAAGTGTCTAGGGTTCCGAGTACCACTGGCCATTGTTAATAAGGCTCACCAGGCAAATCAGCTTTATCCGTTTGCCATTTCGTTGATCGAGAGTGTGCGCACTTACGAGATGACTCTGGAGAAGGTAGGTGGGGGAAATCGCGTGTGCTATAGTTGTTTGAATCATCAATAGGCCAGTCTTCAGAGAGTTTCACTTTCGAGCGTAAGCGTCTATTTTACGTAAACGCTAAATTTTTCTGGTCATCCCATCAGAAATCTGATGACGTCACCTCAAAGTTTTGGTGTGCTAACTAAACTCTAAGAAATAGTGAGGTTTTGCCTACGGTTGTATCATTATTCACATGATCATGTTTCAGAGGAAAAAAAAATTGTCGAAAGTTGTTTCGACAGAACTTCCCTCGCATCGAAAGTATAATGAGTACGTTGTGAGTTGAGTTTTTACTTTACACAATTTTGTAATGACCTCATCAACGGGGACACGTATATGAACTTGGATTGGTGCAGCGTAGACTCCTTCTGGCCAATTACATACCTAAGGAAATAGAGGGCGGGTGGGCGTAGCTAGTATTTTTTAAAATGAAATTGATTTTGGTAAATGACTGAACAATATTAAGAGTATTAATCACTGGAATGTAGAGGGGGTGGATGGGCGGGGCTATTGCTCGGTTATAAAGGATTCTGTAGGAAAAAGTTAGACTTAACCCCGCCCACCCAACCGTTCTCTCATTTTTTTCTTGAAGTAAGAAATAGTTGCAAATAATTTTTAACAGTTCTATTAGTTCGCATTCTTATTTTACGAAAGAACATGTATGTATTTCACCCCGCCCACCCTCTCAGTGATTCATTTTGTCTAGTCCGAATGAAAGGTTGATCTCAATTGAAGAGAGATAAAATCGTTACAATGAGAGCAGCGTGTGTGGGCGGGGCCAATTTCTGCTAAGAGAAGATTGATTTTAGTAAATGAGATCCTCTAAGAAAATAAAGGGTGGGTGGGAGGGGCTGCTACTTGCTAAGATAAGACTGATTGTGGCAAACGACATATCCTTTAAGAAAATAGAGGGCGGGTGGGTGGGGCTAGTACGTATTAAGATAAGATTGATTTTGGTAAATGACATATCCTCCAAGAAAAAAAAAGGGGGCGGGGTAAAACTTGGTAAGATAGTAATGAACAATATCAAGAGTAGTCACTGGAACGAAGAGGGGGTGGGTGGGAGGGGCTATTGCTTGCTTATAAAAGATTCTGTAGGAAAAAAATAAACTAAGCCCCGCCCACCCGCCCGTTTTTTTCTTCAGAAATAAGACATAAATGTTATAACAAATAAGTAGTATAACAAAAAATTACGAACATCTCTTTTTTTTTAACAGCCTACGTTCTATTAGTTCCCATTCACATTTTACAAAAAAATAATATTCACCCCGCGCACTCACCCCGCCTCCATTTCAGTGATTCATTTTGTGTAGTCCGAATGAAAGATGGATCTCAATTGAAGAGAGATAAAATTGTTAGAATGAGAACAACGTGTGTGGACAGGACTGCTATTTGCTAAGATAAGACTGATTGTGGCAGACGACATACCTTCTAAGAAAATAGAGGGCGGGTGGGTGGGGCTAATACTTATTAAGATACGATTGATTTTGGTAAATGACGTATCCTGCAAGAAAAAAAAAGGGTTGGTGGGCGGGGATAAAACTTGGTAAGGTAGTAATGAACAATATTAAGAGTAGTCACTGGAATGAAGAAAGGGTGGGTGGGCGGGGCTACTGCTTTATCTTAAAACTATAAACAAGCTAAATTTACCCCCCTCCCCCCACTTCCTTTCTTATTTTCATTGATTTATTTTATTTAGTGTAAAATGGAAATTGAAAAATAACAGTATTGTATTCCCAAATTTTTTTCGGAAAATGGAGTGATTTTTTTGAGCCACCTTTTTAAGCAAATTAAAAAAAATCACAAGTAAAAATACATCATATTTAGCACATTTTTGCAAGGACATGTATATAACCTTGGATTTGTCCAGTGTAGTACTTACTAAGATAAGACTGCTTGTGACAAATTAGATACCCCTTCAGAAAATAGACAGCGGGTGGGCATAGCTAGTATTTATTAAAATAAGTTTGATTTTAACGAAATGACTGGACAATATTAAGAAGGTGGAATGAAGAGAAGGTGGTTGGGGGGGCGCTAAAATTTAGCCCCGCCCACCCACCCGTTCTTTCATTTTTTTCTTCAGAAATAAATACAGAGAAATCGAAAAAGAAATTAGTCAAAGTTAGCCATGCACGAAAAGCCGTTTGTCTTAGTTTAAAATAATTTTTTATTAAACGTCACGTTGACAGAAGGTTGACAAGAGTAATTTGCAAAGTTATGAAACGAAATTAAAGCTTTTTTGTTAGAATCTTACTTCAGAAATGGGACAAAATTGGAAAACGGTGATTTTGATTCCTTTTTATGTGTTTTACAAGTAGGTATCATAATTCTAATTTTAAACTGTCAATTTGACATTTAATAAAAAACTTTGACTAATTTCTTTTTTGATCTGGCGGTATTACAGCAAATAAGTAGTATAACAAAAAAAAATACGATTAACTTTTTTTTTTTAACAGTCTACGTTCTATTAGTTCCCATTCTCAATTTACAAAAGAATATATAATTTACCCCGCCCACCCACCCCTGTTGCATATCAGTGATAAAACTTGCTAAGATAGGAATCAGTATTAAGAGTAATCACTGGAACGAAGAGGGGGTGGGTGGGAGGGGCTATTGCTTGCTTATAAAAGATTCTCTAGGAAGGAGTTAAACTAAGCCCCGCCCACCCACCCGTTTTTTTCTTCAGAAATAAGAAATAAATGTTATAAGAAATAAGTATAACAAAAAACTACGGTTAACTCTTTTTTTAACAACCTACGTTCTATTAGTTCTCATTCTTATTTTACAAAAGAACATAATTCACCCCGCCCACCCACCCCGCCTCCATTTCATTGATTCATTTTGTGTAGTCCGAATGAAAGATGGATCTCAATTGAAGAGAGATAAAATTGTTAGAATGAGAACAACGTGTGTGGACGGGGCTAGTATTTGCTAAGATAAGATTGATTTTGGTAAATGACATATCCTCTAAGAAAATAAAGGGTGGGTGGGAGGGGCTGCTATTTGCTAAGATAAGACTGATTGTGGCAGACGACATACCTTCTAAGAAATAGAGGGCGGGTGGGCGGGGCTAATACTTATTGAGATAAGATTGATTTTGGTAAATAACGTAAGAAAAAAAAAGGGTGGGCGGGCGGGGATAAAACTTGCTAAAATAGGAATCAATATTAAGAGTAATCACTGGAACGAAGAGGGAGTGAGTGGGAGGGGCTACTGCTTGCTTATAAAAGATTCTGTAGGAAAAAGTTAAACTAAGCCCCGCCCACCCACCCACCCGTTTTTTTCTTCATTGCAAAAATGTGCAAAATATGATGCGTTTTTATTTGTGATTTTTTTATAAAGATGGCTAACAAAAAATTAATGAATGAGTCAATTTATTTCATTGATTAAACCAGGAATGCCTCACTCCATTTTCCGAGAAAATTTTAGGATTGTAATACTGTCAGTTTTCAATTTCCATTTTACACTAAATAAAATAAGTCAATGAAATGGAGAAAGGAAGTGGACTTTGAGTAATTTTAAGAGAAAGCAGTAGCCCCGCCCACCCACCCTTTCTTGGTTTCAGTGATTACTTCTAATATTGTTCATTCGTATCTTAGCAAGTTTTAGCCCCGCCCACCCACCCTTTTTTTTTGAAGGATATGTCATTTACCAAAATCAATCTTATTTTAATAAGCACCATGTATATGACCTTGGATTGATGCAGTGTAGTACTTGCTAAGATAAGACTGCTTGTGGCAAATTACATACTCCTTAAGAAAATGACTGAACAATATTAAGAGTAATCACTGGAATGAAAAGGGGGTGGGTGGGCGGGGCTACTGCTTGCTTATAAAAGATTCTCTAGGTAAAAGTTAAACTAAGCCCCGCCCACCCACCCGTTTTTTCCTCAGAAATAAGAAATAAATATAACAAATAAGTAGTATAACAAAAAACTACGCTTAACTCTTTTTTTAACAATCTACGTTCTATTCGTTCCCATTCACATTTTACAAAAAAATAATATTCACCCCGCCCACCCACCCCGACTCCATTTCATTGATTCATTTTGTGTAGTCCGAATGAAAGATGGATTTCAATTGAAGAGAGATAAAATTGTTAGAATGAGAACAACGTGTGTGAACGGGGCTAGTATCTGCTAAGATAAGATTGATTTTGGTAAATGACATATCCTCTAAGAAAATAAAGGGTGGGTGGGTGGGAGGTGCTGCTATTTGCTAAGATAAGACTGATTGTGGCAGACGACATACCCTCTAAGAAAATAGAGGGCGGGTGGGCGGGGCTAATACTTATTAAGATAAGATTGATTTTGGTAAATAACATATCCTCCAAGAAAAAAAAGGTGGGCGGGCGGGGATAAAACTTGCTAAGATAGGAATCAATATTAAGGGTAATCACTGGAACGAAGAGGGGGTGGGTGGGAGGGGCTATTGCTTGCTTATAAAAGATTCTCTAGGAAAAACTTAAACTAAGCCCCGCCCACCCACCCGTTTTTTTCTTCAGAAATAAGAAATAAATGTTATAACAAATTAGTAGTATAAGAAAAAATTACGATTATCTCTTTTTTTTAACAGCCTACGTTCTATTAGTTCCCATTCACAATTTACAGAAAAAACATATAATTCACCCCGCCTCCATTTCAGTGATTCATTTCGTCTAGTCCGAATTAAAGGTGGGTCTCAATTGAAAAGAGATAAAATCGTTAAAATGTGGACGGAGCTGCTACTTGCTAAAATAAGACTGATTGTGGCAGACGACATATCCTCTAAGAAAATAGAGGGCGGGTGGGCGGGGCTAGTACTTATTAAATAAGATTGATTTTGGTAAATGACATCCTCCAAAAAAAGGGTGGGTGGGCGGGGCTAAAACTTGCTAAGATAGGACTGAACAATATTAAGAGTAGTCACTGGAACGAAGAAGGGGTGGGAGGGTGGGGGTACTGCTTTCTCTTAAAATTACTTAAAGTCCAGTTCTTTTCTCCATTTCATTGACTTATTTTATTTAGTGTAAAAAAATGGAAATGGAAAAACAACAGTATTGCATTCCCAAAATTTTGTAAGAAAATGGAGTGAGGCATTCCTGGTTTAATCATTAAAATAAACAGCCATTCATTAATTTTTTTGGGCCACCTCTATAAAAAAATCACTTGTAAAAACGCATCATATTTTGCACATTTTTGCAAAATGATCGAAAATGTCAAAAGTGCCAAAATCAGTTTTACCCTATCAAATACTAGCCCCACCCACCCTATATTTTCTTAGAAGGTTTGTCATTTGCCAAAATCAGTCTTATCTTATCAAATACTAGCCCCGCCCACCCGCCCTCTATTTTCTTGCAAGGTATGTCATGTGCCAAATCAGTCTTATCTTAGCAAGTACTAGCTCCGCCCACCCCCTCTCTTCTTATTCTAACGACTAATTTTATTTCTGTTCAATTTCCGCAGAAACGAAGCCGAAAATGACTTCTGGATATCGAAATCTACAAAAAAATGTTTTCAGCTAATTTTTGAAAATAGTTGAAAAATGGCAGGAATTGCCGAAAGTGCCAAAATAAGTCTTATCTTATCAAATACTAGCCTTCCCCAACCCACCCTCTTCAAGTAATTTTTGAAAATAGTTGAAAAATTGTCGAAAATGGCGAAGTGCCCAAAATCAGTCCTTTCTAATAAAATATTAGCCCCGCCCACCCACCCTTTATTTTCTTACAGGGTATGTCATATGCCAAAATCAGTCTCATCTTAGCAAGTACTATGACCTTATTGCTTGCTTATAAAGATTCTATAGGAAAAAGTTGAACTTAGCCCCGCCCACCCACCCGTTCTCTCATTTTTTTTCTTAAAAAAAATAAATACAGAGAGATCGAAAAAGAAATTAGTCAAAGTTGGCCATGCACGAAAAGCCGTTTGTTTTAGTTTAAAATATTTTTCTATTAAACGTCACGTTGACACAAGTAATTTACAATGTTATCAAACGAAATTAAAGCTTTTTTGTTAGAATCTTACTTCAGAAGTGGGACAAAATTGGAAAACGGTGATTTTGATTCATTTTTGTGTGTTTTAAAAGTAGGTATCATAATTCTAATTTTAAACTGTCAATTTGACATTCAATAAAAAAATTTAAATTTCGACACGGCTTGTCGTGCATGGCCAACTTTGACTGATTTATTTTTCGATCTCGCGGTATTATAGCAAATAAGTAGTCTAACAAAAAAATTACGATTAACGTTTTTTTTACAGCCTATGTTCTATTATTAGTTCACATTCTCAATTTACAAAAGAACACAATTCAACCCGCCCACCCACCCCTCCTCTATTTCAGCGATTCATTTATCTGGTCCGAAAGAAAGGTGGATCTCAATTGAAGAGAGATAAAATCGCTAGAATGAGAACAGCGTGTGTGGGCGGGGCTAGTACCTGCTAAAATTTTTGGCTGATTCATTTTGAGTCATCCTGTATAAGGAAATCTAAAAAATATGAATGCAGTGATAAATTACAAGTTTAGACTGATCACATTTTGCACATTTTGGATATGATTTATTCGGCAAAATCTTGCGCTGACATCATCAATTGTTTGTTGAGCAAATATATTTTGACTAAAAATTCATTATGCTTATTATAACTTTAAAATATGTGCAAGATTTCAAAGCATTCGGTTTTGCAGATTCAAAATTAAATTGTAAAATGTGTAGGACTATGTTATTTCATACAATTTAAAACCCATTTACTATGTACAATTTTGAAGTGACGTCATCACATTATTGGTGGGGATGATTAGACAAATTTTGGTCAGCGTTTTAATGATTATTCCTAATATAAATACAAAATTTGAAAAAAATCGGCCCAGTACTTTCCGAGATTATCTTTTTCGTACTACAGGGGTCATGAAAGGTCGAGAAAACGAAAAAATGGAGAGTCGGCCGACAGATTCGCTTACGCTCGGAAAGTAAAAACCTTCCATTTTCTCTATACAATATATGTGCGCAACTCGCTTCGCTCGCGTAACCCGAAGACTGGTCTATTGTCAGTGTAGAACCAACAAGATAAAGCGACCAAATACAAGCAGTGTGTTTTATTACGTAGCTGTCGAACAGGATTAGTGCTCAAAGCGGTACTAAGGTAGCGTTTAGCTTGCCTCAGTTTCGGCATGTTAAGTGTACTTCTTTCTCGGTCCATAAACGCATGCCTGTAACCGTCAACCCATTCTTCCCCCTTTTCACGATCATTCTCTTCGCATGATCGTCCCAACCACCTTTGCGACTCTCTACATCCATTTTTCTTCACACAGATCGAAGACAAAGCCAGCATTATCCCCCTAGTGGCGGCCATGCGCAAAGAGGTCCAGCAACTCATAGCCGAAGGCATACAGCTCGTCTGGGAGAGCTACAAACTTGACCCTTACGTTCAGCGTCTCTCCGACGCCGTGGTAAGCTTCCAGGAACGGGTCGAAGAACTGGTGATCGTTGGCGAACAACTAGAAGTGGATGTGCGTTCCTTGGAAACTTGTCCTTACTCGGCTAACACTTTCGCGGATATTTTGTCCAAAATCCAGCATGCTGTGGATGACTTGTCGTTAAAGCAGTACTCGAATTTGCATATTTGGGTTAATCGATTGGACGAAGAAGTGGAGAAGAATCTGGCGAGACGGTTACAAGCTGGTATTGAAGCGTGGACGGATGCTTTGAACGGACAGAAGAAGGAAATCGATCATAGTATGGATACGGATGCGCCGGCGCAGCCTACGCATAAACCGGGTGGTGACCCGCAGATTCAAGTGGTGGTTCATGAAGTGAGAATCACCAATCAGACGATGTATTTGTACCCGAGCATCGAAGAGGCAAGGTTCCAGATCATGCAACAGTTATTCGCATGGGAGGCTATAGTTATGAGCCAGCAGAGACTGCAGAGCAGTCGGTACCAAGTCGGTGTGGACAAACCCGTCGCGGAAACATACAGGAACATCTTGACGAAGTTGCCGAACAAATCGGAACCACTGGAGAGTGCGTACCGAGCTATAGCTTCTAAGATCAAAGAGATACAGAATTACGTCAACGAGTGGTTGACCTATCAGAGTTTGTGGGATTTGCAAGCCGACAATTTGTACGGAAAGTTAGGCGATGACATCAGCAAGTGGATGGAGTGTCTCAACGATATTAAGAAAACTCGTACCACGTTTGATACTTCGGATACCCGTCGCGAGTTTGGTCCAGTCGTCATCGACTTCGCCAAAGTCCAGAGTAAAGTATCTCTGAAGTACGACTCTTGGCATAAGGAGACCCTAAGTAAATTCGGTACTTTGCTCGGAAACGAAATGGTGACCTTCCATAGTACCGTCTCGAAATCTCGAAGCGACCTAGAACTACAAAGCATCGAAGCAGCTAGTACCTCAGACGCCGTTTGCTTCATCACCTACGTCCAGCAGCTCAAACGCAACATGAAAGCCTGGGAGAAGCAAGTCGAGATCTACCGCGAAGGCCAGAGGATTCTCGAACGACAAAGATTCCAATTCCCGACGAGCTGGCTCCACGTGGAGAACCTCGAAGGCGAATGGGGCGCCTTCAACGAGATCATCAAACGCAAAGACTCGTCAATCCAAACCCAAGTGGCGAGCCTCCAGCAGAAGATCGTCTCCGAAGACAAAGCCGTCGAGAGTCGTACCAACGACTTCTTGAACGACTGGGAGCGAAGCAAACCAGTTGAAGGCCACCTCAAGCCCGACGACGCTCTCACCCAACTCCAACTCTTCGAGAGCAAGTTCGCTCGTTTGAAAGAAGAACGCGACAACGTCGCGAAAGCCAAAGAAGCTTTGGAGTTGCAAGAGCCAGGCGGTGTTAGTACCAGCGAAGACCGCATGCAAGTGGTTTACGAAGAGTTGCAAGATTTGAGAGGAGTGTGGTCCGAGTTGGCTAGAATTTGGACCCAGATTGATGAAACTAGAGAGAAACCGTGGTTGTCGGTACAACCCAGGAAGTTGCGTCAGCAACTGGACGCGATGAGTGCGCAGTTGAAGGAACTCCCGGCTAGGTTGAGACAGTACGCGTCGTACGAGTACGTCAAGAAGACGTTGCAGAACTATACTAAAGTCAACATGTTGATAGTGGAGTTGAAGTCCGACGCGTTGAAAGAGAGACACTGGAAGCAACTGATGAAGCAGTTGAGGGTGAATTGGGTACTGTCGGATTTGACTTTGGGACAAGTCTGGGACGTCAATCTTCAGAAGAACGAGTCGATTGTTAAAGATATTATTTTGATCGCGCAAGGAGAGATGGCGTTGGAAGAGTTCTTGAAACAAGTGAGGGAGTCGTGGCAGACGTACGAGCTCGATTTGATCAACTATCAGAACAAGTGTAAGTTGATTCGCGGCTGGGACGATCTTTTCAATAAAGTCAAGGAACATATTAATTCGGTGGCCGCCATGAAGTTGTCTCCGTATTACAAAGTCTTTGAAGAGGAAGCCCTCACTTGGGAGGAGAAGTTGAATCGCATTAACGCCCTCTTTGATGTTTGGATTGACGTGCAAAGACGCTGGGTTTACTTGGAAGGGATCTTCTCCGGGAGCGCCGACATCAAGACCTTGCTTCCCGTTGAAACGTCGCGCTTCCAAAGTATTAGTTCTGAATTCTTAGGTCTGATGAAGAAAGTAAGCAAATCCCCGATGGTCATGGACGTTTTGAATATTCCCGGGGTGCAACGAGCCCTCGAGCGTTTGGCTGATCTCCTTGGCAAGATCCAAAAGGCTTTGGGCGAGTACTTGGAACGTGAACGTACTTCTTTCCCCCGGTTTTACTTCGTCGGAGACGAGGATCTCCTCGAAATCATCGGTAACAGCAAAAACGTGGCACGTCTGCAGAAACACTTCAAGAAGATGTTCGCTGGAGTCGCTTCCATCATCCTGAACGAAGATAACACAGTCATCACTGGAATAGCATCGCGCGAAGGCGAAGAAGTCGTCTTCGGTTCACCCGTCTCAACTATTGAACACCCGAAAATCAACGAATGGTTGACCCTAGTTGAGAAAGAAATGAGAGTGACGTTAGCCTCAAGTTTGGCACAATCCGTGCAAGACGGGAAACAGTTCAAAGACGGAATCGACCCGAAACAGTACATGACGTGGGTCGACAAGTACCAAGCCCAGATTGTGGTACTAGCCGCCCAGATTCTATGGAGCGAAGACGTGGAAGCCGCACTCGTCAAAATGAACGGAGAAGCCCAGAAAGGACCCCTGGAGAAGGTGTTGCAGCAAGTGGAGAACACCTTGAACGTCTTGGCTGACTCAGTACTACAAGAGCAACCACTCTTGAGACGCAAGAAACTCGAGCACTTGATTAACGAGTTCGTGCATAAGAGAACTGTGACTAGACGCTTGATGGCCAATGGGGTGTCGAGCAACAAGGCGTTCGAGTGGTTGTGCGAGATGCGGTACTACTTCGACCCTCGCCAGACCGAAGTCCTGAAACAACTGACGATTCATATGGCCAACGCCAAGTTTTACTACGGTTTTGAGTACTTAGGGGTACAGGATCGGTTAGTGCAGACGCCGCTGACGGATCGGTGCTACTTAACTATGACGCAGGCGCTGGAAGCCAGATTGGGTGGTTCTCCGTTCGGGCCTGCCGGTACCGGTAAAACCGAGTCAGTCAAAGCTTTGGGTAACCAATTAGGTCGTTTCGTTCTCGTGTTCAACTGCGACGAAACGTTCGATTTTCAAGCGATGGGGAGGATCTTCGTTGGGTTGTGTCAAGTGGGAGCGTGGGGGTGCTTCGATGAGTTCAATCGTTTGGAGGAGAGGATGTTGTCGGCGGTGTCGCAGCAAATACAGACGATTCAAGAGGCGCTGAAGTCGCAGAAAGAGAGGGAGAGTTCGGATTCGGTGTCCACAGGAAGTGAGTAGGGTGGGTGGAGTGGATAGTGTGACAGAGGTGTGTTTTAGGTATCACAGTCGAGCTGGTGGGAAAGCAAGTCCGGGTTTCGCCGGATATGGCGATTTTCATTACGATGAATCCGGGTTATGCGGGACGTTCGAATTTGCCTGATAATTTGAAGAAGTTGTTTAGGTCTTTGGCGATGACTACACCCGATAGGCAACTGATTGCGGAAGTTATGTTGTTCTCGCAAGGATTCCGTACGGCTGAGAAGTTAGCTTGCAAGATAGTACCATTCTTCAAGTAGGTATTAGTCGACGGGGTTGTACCTTTTTTACTTCCCGAGCGTAAGCAAAGGAAGTATTGTAATCGAGTCCGTCGGCCGACTCTCTACTTTTACGTTTTCTCGATCTTTCATGACCCCTAGAAGACGAAGAAATAGGTCTCCCATTTCCGTCTGTCTGTCTGTCCGTCCGTCTGTCCGTCTGTCTGCCGTCCCGGATTTTTTTTAGACAGATAATCTCCGAAAGTACTGGACCGATTGTTGTGAAATTTTGTACTTATATTAGGAATATCATGTAGATGGTAAAACGCTAACCAAAATTTGTCTAATCATCCCCACCACTAATGCGATGACGTCACTTCAAAATTGTACATAGTAAATGGGTCTTAAATTGTATAAACTAACATAGTCCTACACTTGTAGTTTACGACCCCGAATTGAGTTTTTACCCGAAATGTCCAGATTTTTGGGAAAAAATCAAAGTTATAAAACAACATTTTGCAATTTAATTTTGAATCCGCTAACCCGAATGTTTCGAAATGTTGCAGATGTTTTAAGGCTCTAAAGAGCATCATAAATCTTTAGTCAAAATATATTTGGTTATCCCCTCCAAAAACTTGATGACGTCAGCTCAAAAGTTTGCCGAATAAATCCTATCTAAAATGTACAAAATATGATGCGTCTGTACTTGTGGTATATCACTCCATTCATATTTTTTGGATTTGCATATACAGGGTGACTCAAAAAAATTAATGAATGCGCAAAATTTATTTTACTGATTTACTCAGGAATTACAAAACCGAATGCTTTAAAATCTTGAAGCATGGTAAATTTTTTATCAAAATGTATTTGGTCCTCCCCCCTAAAAAGTTTATGACGTCACCACAAAATTTTGCTGAATAAATCCTATCTAAAATGTACAAAATATGGTGAGTCTCTTCTTGTGATTTATCATTCCATTCAAATTTTTTGGATTTGCATATACAGGGTGACTGAAAAAAATTAATGAATGCGTCAATTTATTTTATTGATTTAATCAGGAATTACAGAACCGAATGCTTTGAAATCTTGGAGATGTTTTAAAGTTATTATAAGCATGGTAAATTTTTTATCAAAATGTATTTGCTCATCCCCCCTAAAAAATTGATGACGTCACCCCAAAATTTTGCTGAATAAATCGTATCTAAAATGTACAAAATATGATGAGTCTGTACTTGTGATTTATCATTCCATTCATATTTTTGGATTTGCATATGCAGGGTGACTCAAAAAAATTAATGAATGCGTGAATTTATTTTATCGATTTAATCAGGAATTACAAAACCGAATGCTTTGATATCTTGGAGATATTTTAAAGTTATTATAAGCATGGTACACTTTTGTTCAAAATGTATTTGTTCATCCCTCCTAAAAAAATTGATGACGTCACCCTTAAATTTTGCTGAATAAATCCTATCTAAAATGCAAAAAATATGATGAGTTGATTTATCATTCCATTCATATTTTTTAGATTTTCTTAAGAGGTGGCTCAAAAAAATTAATGAAGTCAATTTATTTTATTGATTAAATTAAAGGCAACACTTATTATTAGTATTACATTGGACCAACCCAATTTGGTAGACACAAAATTTTTTAAAGTAAAAACTCGGTTGAAACATAAGGGTAGCACGCTTATTTACATCGACTTTAACATTTCAGACGTGCATTTGTTTTATGCGCTGACTAGGTTCCGCGAATGTGGAATAGACATGTTTATAATCAACCAATCGTGAATTCCACCGTCAAAAATTAAAATAAAACCCAATGTTTTATATAATAAGCGGAAGTCGAAGCAATAAAACCGATGGTCGTTTTGTTTAGAGTTTCTCTGTTTGACTCTCACGTATGCTGTTACGCTTGTCATCTTAAATTAAGAATGTTTATACATAAACGTTTTTCAGTTGCCTCTCGTTATTTTATTGATTATAACAAATCAATATTCAAAACGACCCAATTCATTTTCCCGAAAATTTGGGAATACATACAATAATTTTATTCTTAGTATTACACTGATATACTTGTCCTTGCAAAAATGTTGATGACGTCATCGCAATTTTTTTTAAATTCCCACTACAAAAATGTAATGAGAAAAAAACACAATAGGCATGCAGTCGTCAAGTTTCCGACAGCGAGGGAAGTACTGTCTAAACTCTTTGGACCAATTTTTTAATTTTAAAATGATACGATTTTTCAGTGCTGCAATTTTTTTTTGAGATTTCCGTTTTAGATTTTTTACAATTTTTCGATTTCTCAATTGTCCAGTTTTTAGTGAATCAGTTCTTCAATATTTAATTTTTCAGTTATCAAATTTTCCAATTTTTCAATTTTTCCGTTTTGGAATCATTAGATTTCTCAATTTTCCGATTTTTCATTTTTCAATTGTTCGTCATTTTTACTGCCTAATAATTTTCGATTTTACAATTATCCAATTTTTCAATTTAAAATTGCACAATTTTTCAAGTTTTTGATTTTTAACTGTTCAAAATTTCGACTTTAATTTTTCAGCTTGTTGATTTACCAGTGTAATTATTTTACAATTTTCCGTTTTTGAAGGTATCAGACTTTTCAGTTTTTGATTTTTCCATTACCCAAATTTCATTGTTTCGGTTTCCTAATTTTTTGATTTTTAATTTTTCAAAATCTCGATTTTGAATTTTCAATTTCACGATCTTACAAATTTTCGATTTTCCAATTTGTAATTTTTGTGATTTACAATTGTCTGAATTTTCAATTTAAAAATTATACGATTTTTCAATGCTGTAATTTTGCAATTTTTTTTGTTGTCAATTTTATATTTCTGCAATTTTTCGATTTTTCAATTGTCCAGTTTTTAATAAATTAGTTCGTCAATTTTTGATTTATCAATCATCAAATTTTCTAATTCTTCGATTTTTCAATTTTGAAATCCTTAGATGTTCTATTTTTCAGTTTTATAATTACGCAATTTTTCGATTTTACAATTATCCAATTTTTCAGTTTTAAAATTGTACAATTTTTCAAGTTTTTGATTTTTAATTGATCAACATTTCGATTTTGATATTGATTTTCCAGGGTAATTATTTTGCATTCTTCCGTTTTTGAAGGTATCCGATTTTTCAATTTTTGATTTTTCTATTACCCGAATTTCATTATTTCGATTTCCAATTTTCAGTGTTGTAATTTTGCAATTTTTTTGAGTTTTCAGTTTTATGTTTTTACAATTTTTCGGTTTCTCAATTATCCAGTTTTCAATGAATCAGTTGTTCAGTTATTGATTTTTCAATTTTTGGAATCCTTAGATTTTTGAATTTTCCAATTTTTCATTTTTCAATTGTTCTACATATTTTTCAATTTAGTAATTATGCAATTTGTCATTTTTAGAGTTTAATAATTTTCGAATTTACAATCATCCAAAATTTCAAATTTGAGATTGTACAATTTTTCAAGTTTTTGATTTTCAATTGTTCAAAATTGCGATTTTAATTTTTCAACATATTGATTTCCGAGTGTAATTATTTTGCAATTTTCCGTTTTTGAAGGTATCCGATTTTTCAATTTTTGATTTTTTTATAACCCGAATTTCATTGTTTCGATGTCATAATTTTTTCATTTTTAATATTTCAAAATTTTGATTTCCAGTTTTTTGAGTTTTTGATTTCTCAATTTCATGATCTCACAGTTTTTTGATTTTCCAATTTTAAAATTGTGTTGTAATTTTGCATTTTTTTTTTGAGTTTTCAGTTTTATATTTTTACAATTTTTCCATCTCGCAATTTTTGAATTTTCAGATTTTCCAACTTTTCGGTTTTTCATTTTTCAGTTGTTATATTTTTCAATTCAATAATAATGAAATTTGTCATTTTCACAATTCAATAATTTTCGATTTTACAATTATCCAATTTTTTTAATGGTGGTTTGTAGGTTGTGCGACGAGCAACTATCGAATCAGTCTCACTACGATTTTGGGCTGCGTGCCCTCAAGTCGGTTTTGGTTTCGGCTGGTAACGTCAAGCGCGACCGAATCCAGAGAATCAAAGAAGGGTTGAAGCAGAGGGGCGAAACCAACATAGATGAAGCCAGCATTGCCGAAAATCTACCCGAACAAGGAATATTGATACAGTCGGTGTGCGAAACGATGGTACCGAAACTGGTAGCCGAAGACATACCTTTGTTGTCAAGTTTGTTGAACGACGTATTCCCGAACGTCCAATACACTCGAGCAGAAATGAAAGGTTTGAAGGACGAAATCCGCAAGGTTTGCCAAGAAGAGTTCTTGGTTTGTGGTGAAGGGGACGAGCAAGGATCACACTGGATGGAGAAGGTAGGTACTTCCGAACACTAGTCGTAGTTGTTTTTTCGAATGCAAAGATTGTGACGTTGTGTGCACTTCATTCCATGCTGCACAGAGAACGTACGTAGGAGAGACTTGGATTCAGAAGGTACTACTTCACCTAGTTCCATCCGTAGCTGTAACTTTGGTACCAATCATGTCTTAACTTGTCTTTGTGTTAGGTTCTCCAACTGTACCAAATCTCCAACCTCAACCACGGTCTGATGATGGTAGGCCCGAGTGGTTCCGGTAAGAGTACCGCCTGGCGAGTACTCCTCAAAGCTTTGGAAAGATTCGAAGGTACCGAAGGTGTCGCTCACGTCATCGACCCCAAAGCCATCAGCAAAGAAGCTCTTTACGGTGTCCTGGACCCCAACACCCGCGAATGGACCGACGGCCTCTTCACCCACATTCTCCGTAAAATCATCGACAACGTCCGCGGCGAAATCAACAAGCGCCAATGGATTATTTTCGACGGCGACGTCGATCCAGAGTGGGTCGAGAACTTGAACTCGGTCCTCGACGACAATAAACTCCTGACTCTACCGAACGGCGAACGTTTATCGCTACCTCCGAACGTCCGCGTCATGTTCGAAGTCCAGGACTTGAAGTACGCAACTCTGGCTACCGTCTCCCGGTGCGGCATGGTCTGGTTCTCCGAAGACGTCCTCTCAACTGAGATGATCTTCGAAAATTATATGTTGCGGTTGAAGAGTATTCCTTTGGAGGAGGGCGAAGACGATAGTTTTGGGAAGAAATCCGAGAATAAGGAGGATTTGTTGTCGCCGACGCTTCAAGTTCAAGTGGACGTCGCGAATATTTTGCAGAGTCATTTAGCCCCGGATGGTTTAGTCGTGCGGTGCTTGGAGTACGCGATGGAGCAGGAGCACATCATGGATTTCACCCGATTGAGGGCGTTGAGTTCGTTGTTCTCGATGTTGAATCAGTGTGTGAGGAACGTGCTCCAGTACAACCATTCGCATGTCGATTTTCCGTTGTCGAACGAACAACTGGAGAAGTATATACCGAAGTGCCTGGTGTATTCTTTGTTGTGGAGTTTTGCTGGGGATGCGAAATTGAAGGTGCGGTCGGACTTGGGTGACTTTATTCGATCGGTGACGACCGTGCCGCTGCCACCGTCGAACAACATGCCCATAATCGACTACGAGGTCAACATAGAGGGAGAATGGTCACCGTGGTCTAACAAAGTACCACAGATTGAAGTGGAGACGCACAAAGTCGCGTCGCCGGATATAGTAGTACCGACGCTGGATACAGTACGGCATGAGTCGTTACTGTACACGTGGCTGGCGGAGCACAAACCAATAGGTGGGTATAGTGATCCGGCTCAAACCACAAAAAACAATTTCAAATTAATCAGTTACCGATTTTGTGAAAAATGTTTGCTCAAAGAGCAGCACCTTTGTAGGAAAAATGTAGAGAAGAAAGAAGTAGTGAATAAAAAACTCGGCACAATTGAGAGAGGGTGGGTGGGCGGGGATTTTATTTAGTGTATTATTTTTAATATACGAAATGCTCTTTTCCCAACCAGAAACTAAAAACATTTAACTATCGTGTTGTTTAAAGAAAACTATATGTTACTAAAAAAAGTCCCGATCTCAATTGCGATTAATTTTTTATTCGTTGTCAGACCGAGGGGCGCAGCATAATTGCAAAATACATATTTCTCTACAAAAATTTTGAACACTTTAAGTTTCTTGTTGTGAAAATGAGACTGTGTATATTAAGAAAAAAGGGCAAAATATAAGCATCAACCAACCACCCACCCTATCTCAATTGTAATGATTTTTTTTATTCGTTGTCAGACCGAGCGGTTGAGTTTAATTCCAAATTCGCGTTTCTCTACAAGATTTTACTCGTTGAAGAACATATTTCGCATGGTAATTTCTTATAGAAGTATGAGGATTTTGCAACTAAGCCTCGCCGTCGGCTCACAATGAATAAAAAAATCATCACAATTGAGAGGGGGTGGGTGGGCGGGGCTTATATTTTGTACGTTTTTTCTTAATATACGAAGTCTTATTTTCGCAACAAGAACTAAAAACATATTTAACTATCGTGTTGATCAAAAAAAACTATATGTAATAAAAAAAAAGTTCTGACTTCAATTCTGATAAATTTTTATTCGTTGTCGAACCGAGGGGCGGAACTTAATTGCAAAATACGTATTTCCCTACAAAAGTTTTGAACACTTTAAGTTTCTTGTTGTGAAAATGAGACTGTATATTAAGAAAAAAGGGCAAAATATAAGCATCACCCACCGACCCACCCTATCTCAATTGTAATGATTTTTTTTATTCGTTGTCAGACCGAGCGGTTGAGTTTAATTCCAAATTCGCGTTTCTCTACAAAATTTTACTCCTTTAAAAACATATTTCGCATGGTAATTTCTTGTAGAGATATGAGGTTTTTGAAGCTAAACTCCGCCCTTGAGCTCACGATGAATAAAATATTCATCACAAGCGAGAAGGGGTGGGTGGGCGGGGCTGTACATTTTTTCTTAATATACGAAGTCTTATTTTCGGAACAAGAACTAAAAACATATTTAAGTATCATGTTGTTCAAAGAAAACTATGTGTAACTAACGAAAGTCCCGATCTCAATTGTGATGAATTTTTTATTCGTTGTCAGACCGAGGGGCGGTGCATAATTGCAAAATACATATTTTCATATACAAATTTTGAACATGTTTTAAGTTTCTTGTTATGAAAAGAAGACTAAGTATATTAAGAAAAAAGGGCAAAATATAAGCCCCGCCCACCCACCCTATCCGAATTGTAATGATTTTTTTTATTTGTTGTCAGATCGAGCGGCGGAGTTTAACTGCAAAATCCAGATTTCTTTACAAAATTTTACTGTTTTAAGAACATATTTCACATTGTAATTTCTTTTAGAAAAAGGAGTATTTTGCAACTAAGCTTCGCCCTCAGCTAATGATGAATAAAAAAATCATTACAAATGAGAGGGGGTGGGTGGGCGGGCTCATATTTTGCACATTTTCTCTTAATATAAGAAATCTTCTTTTCGCAACAAGAACTAAAAACATATTTAACTGTTGTGTTGTTCAAAGAAAACTATATGTAACTAAGAAAGTCCCGATCTCAATTGTGATGAGTTTTTTGTCAGACCGAGGGGCGGAGCCTAATTGCAAAATACATATTTCCCTATAAAAATTTTGAACATGTTTTAAGTTTCTTGTTGTGAAAAGAAGAGGAAGACTGCGTATAATAAGAAGAAATAGTAAAATATATTTTGTATTGTAGTGCTATGTGGACCTCCCGGCTCCGGTAAAACCATGACACTCTTTTCGGCTTTGCGGGCCCTACCGGACATGGAAGTAGTCGGTTTGAATTTCTCCTCGGCCACGACTCCCGAGTTACTATTGAAGACATTCGACCACTATTGTGAGTACCGGAAGACACCCAACGGCGTTATCTTAGCTCCAGTACAGGTGAGTACTACCACCACATCGCGTGACCCATCACTAACCCCTATTTGGTAGTTGGGCAAATGGTTGGTACTCTTCTGCGACGAAATCAACTTACCCGATATGGATAACTACGGTACTCAGCGAGTGATCATGTTCCTGCGCCAAATCGTCGAACAGCGAGGTTTCTACAGAGCGTCTGATCAAACCTGGGTTACTTTGGAACGCATTCAGTTCGTGGGAGCGTGTAACCCACCTACTGATCCCGGCCGAAAACCTCTATCCCACAGGTTCTTGAGACACGTCCCTGTGATTTACGTCGATTACCCTGGTGAGACCTCCTTGAAACAGATTTATGGTACCTTCACCCGAGCTATGTTGAGACTGACTTTGGGTTTGAGAGGGTTCGCCGAGCCTTTGACCAACGCAATGGTCGAATTTTACCTGGCGTCACAAGATCGGTTCACCCAGGATATGCAACCCCACTATGTGTACTCACCACGTGAGATGACCCGATGGGTCCGTGGTATTTGTGAAGCGATTAGACCTTTAGACCACCTTAATGTGGAAGGGTTGGTGAGGTTGTGGGCCCACGAAGCGTTGAGGTTGTTCCAAGACCGGTTAGTAGAGGATTCGGAAAGGCGATGGACCAATGAAAACATCGACGCTGTAGCTTTGAAACATTTCCCGTCGGCGAATTGCGACAAGGCTTTGGAACGACCTATACTTTATAGCAATTGGTTGAGTAAGGACTACGTTCCGGTGGACCGCGAACAACTAAGAGAGTACGTGAAAGCGCGGCTTAAGGTGTTCTACGAAGAGGAATTGGACGTACCGTTGGTACTTTTCGATGAGGTACTCGACCACGTGTTGCGAATCGACCGTATCTTCAGACAACCACAAGGTCACTTATTACTAATCGGGGTTTCGGGTGCTGGTAAAACTACTCTGTCGCGCTTTGTGGCCTGGATGAACGGGCTGTCAATTTTCCAAATCAAGGTTCACAATAAGTATACCGCTGAGGACTTCGACGAGGACCTACGTTCGGTTTTGAGACGCAGCGGTTGCAAGGATGAGAAAATCGCCTTCATTTTGGACGAATCAAACATGTTGGATTCTAGTTTCTTGGAACGGATGAACACGCTATTGGCCAATGGTGAAGTACCTGGGTTGTTTGAAGGTGACGAGTACACCACTCTCATGACTCAGTGTAAAGAGGGTGCACAACGTGAAGGTTTAATGCTGGATTCCAGCGACGAGTTGTACAAGTGGTTTACTCAGCAAGTCATGCGTAACTTACACGTGGTGTTCACTATGAATCCGTCGACGGATGGTTTGAAGGACCGTGCCGCCACGTCTCCCGCTTTGTTCAATCGCTGCGTCTTGAACTGGTTCGGTGATTGGTCGGATGGCGCCTTATTCCAAGTAGGCAAGGAGTTCACGAACAGAGTCGACTTAGATAAACCGACTTGGAAAGCACCTGACTTTTTCCCGGCGGCTTGTACTTTGATTTCTGCCACCCCCACGCACCGAGAGGCGGTGATAAATGGATGTGTGTACGTCCACCAAACGTTGCATAAAGCCAACGCACGATTGGCGAAACGGGGTAGTCGCACGATGGCCATCACACCTCGACACTACCTGGACTTCATCCACCACTTCGTCAAGTTGTACAAGGAGAAGAGATCGGACTTGGAAGAGCAGCAGCTGCATTTGAACGTCGGTTTGAGCAAGATTGCAGAAACCGTGGAACAGGTGGAGGAGATGCAGAAGAGTCTTGCGGTGAAATCTCAGGTAATTGTTTTGGTAACGATAAAATATCGGTACCGATAAAATGTGGTCGTCTTTTTCTTTCGCATCTGGAATTTATAATTTCGTCCTTGTCATTTATCGCTTCGTTATCGTTATCGTTGGGGTCAATTTTTTTTTTATTATCGAATTACGCTTTGTGTTAGGAACTGCAAGCCAAGAACGAAGCTGCCAATGCCAAGCTGCGCCAGATGGTCAAAGACCAGCAAGAAGCCGAAAAGAAGAAGGTCCAGAGCCAAGAGATCCAGCTGCAGCTGAGCGAGCAGACCATCCACATCGAGCAGAAGCGGCAGGAGGTCATGGCCGACCTCGCCCAGGTCGAGCCCGCCGTCATCGACGCCCAGAACGGTGAGTTTGCGTGTCGTCTTAGTTCTGATGATTGTAGGTAATGATTATCGCTAGCCGTTAAGTCTATAAAGAAGCAGCATTTGGTCGAAGTACGTTCGATGGGGAACCCACCAAACAGCGTAAAGATGGCGCTGGAATCGGTGTGTTTGTTGCTGCACGAGAACGCCAGCGAGTGGCGTTCTATAAGATCGGTTATCATGAGAGACAACTTTATCGCTACTATTGTTAACTTCAGCAGTGAAAATTTGACGTAAGGCTCGTCGCAGCCGATAGATGTGTATTGTAAATGTAAATTTGTGCCTGATCATGGCTTTGTCCCGTAGACGTATTCGCTTCTATTGTTATCTTTTTTGGTTCTCTCTCTATCCTGCATTATTGTTTTTTTGTTTTTGCACAGCCGTAAAGTCTATCAAAAAACAACAGTTGGTCGAAATCCGTACGATGGCAAATCCCCCTGCGGTGGTAAAATTGGCCTTAGAATCCATTTGCTTGTTACTCGGTGAAAACGCAAGCGACTGGAAGTCTATTCGAGCGGTCATCATGCGTGATAACTTCATCAATACTGTAGTCAACAATTTCAATACCGAGGATATTAGGTATGCATGTGCTTCACCTTCAAGATGGTGGCTTCAGCAACACTTTGTGTATTATAACCATTATAGATTTACTATACCAAAGCCTTATAGTTCCTGAAGACACCATCCCAGGACTGTAGATGCTAGCATGCACCCTTATCTCTAGACTCTTACTATTGTTTAAGTATATTATAGTTGGACAACCAAATACAAATTTTACGCGCATTTTCACTACAGTGAGCCAATGTATTAGGTTTATTTTACTCTCCATCAGATGGCGCCATCAAACATTAGCAAAGGCAAACACCCTTCACTCTGCTCTTATACGAGGAGTTATCCATAAATCCATAATTAACATTGTTCCGTAAACAGTAATGTGTATAAACATATATGTACAAAATATGAAAATATACTTGACATTAAAAATATGAAGCAACGCGTTGTAACGTGGTACGAAAGAATTGTATTTAAATGAATTTGACGCCTATTTTTATTTGACTATATCTGAAGACTGACAGAAACTTTCCAAAGGTTTTTAAACTGGTATAATTGTTTAGTTTTACAAGATTTAGTAAAATTTAGATTTGTGGTGTTACAAAAATATTAACACAAAATGAAAATATATGTTCAAAGTAAATAACAGAATGACATAAACTTTGGGCGTTGACATTACAAATAATTACAAGACAGAAAAACAAGCATTAAAAACTTAAGAGGCATGTTTGTAATATCGAGTTGTTAAAGGCTGCTTTGAAGACTGTTTGTTTCTATGAAAAACAATTGCTGTTATCCGACGTTTTGGTAGATTTTGTCCCAAAAATACGAGATAACTAATTGTTTCTTGAACTAGTTTCCGTAACTTCTAAAATTTAAAAAGGATACGCCGTTCTGCTGTAGTAAAATCTAGAATAAAGGTTCATTCACAATGACAAAATTAGTAATTAGAATTAACATTAGAATTAAGCTCAAAACCTTGCAAGGTGAAATATCATACAAACATTCACAATGAAATAAATTAGTAATTACTCTTAGCAATTAACGCAGAAGCTTGCAAGCTCCAAAGTTTTGCGTTAATTTCTGTATTAATTTTAATTTTGCGCCTGCGCACGAATGTTAACTAGTGTCCTAACCTACAATAAAATTGAAGAAACTCGGGAAAGAGTCAATTGTCAATAATGGTTTCAAGACGCAAAACATTACGACTTGCTGTGGCAGTGTTGTCAGATTAATTACTTACTATACGCAAAAAACAACGAAGATGGTGGGTAAGTAAAGCCAACAACCAAAAATACAGAATGCGATAGAGAATCTGCGTGCTACGATATTTGTATCATAGAGGGCGCTACAAAAATTAGTTTATTAATTTTATCATTGTGAATGTATGTTTTTGGAGATTTTCTGAGCTTAATTCTAATACTAATTCTAATTACTAATTTTGTCATTGTGAATGAAGCTTAAGGTCAAAATCAGACTAATATTACATCTAATTTTGTCAACCACATGAATATAATTTACATTAAAATAAGTTACAGACATTGTTTGAAATATTTATTATATTTGGAAAACAAGATAAAATAAATAAATAAATAAAATGTGCAGTTTATAAACTTCAGAATATTGAGATTTTTCGAGTTTTCGATTTCTCGATTTTTCAACTTTAAATGTCTCAATTTTTCAATATTTTAATTTTGGGCTTTTCCAATTCTTCCATTCTTCAAATTTTCCATTTCTCGATTTTTTTTATTTTTCGATGTTTCAATGATACGATTTCTCAATTTTTGTCCTCTTCAATTTTACGGTTTTTAAATATTTCAAATTTTCACGTTTCTAAATTTTCGGTTTTTCGATTTTTCACATCTTCAATTCTTCAATTTTTCGATTTTTTAAGCTTACGATTTTTCGATTTTGCTTTTTTTGATTTTCGATTTCTCAATTTTCCAATTTTTTAATTTCTCAATTTTTTGAATATTTCTTTCAGTTACGAGATATCAATATTTCAGTTTTTCGACTTTTCGATTTTTGAATTGATGGATTTTTTTTGATTACTCGATTTTTTACTTTTTGGATTTTCAATTTATTGTAAACTTTAGATTTTTCAATTCTGCGACTGTTTTATACTTCGATTTCTCAAATTTTCGATTTTTTTAATTTTAATTTTCGATTTTCCAGTTTTTCTATTTTAAAATTTTTCGATTATTCAATTTTATAATTCCTCAATTTATCGAATTCAGATGTTTCGTTGTTTTGATTGTTCAATTTCTCAATTTATCAATTTTTCAATTTTTAACTTTCCTTTTCGGCTTCCGACTCCTCCATTTCTCGATCCTCCGATTTTTCGATTTCTCGATGTCTCAGTTTTTGAATTTTTCGAGGTTTCGATTTTTGGATTTCTCGGTTTTTCGATTTTTTTCTTTTGAGCTTTTCAGTTTCTGGATTTTCCAATGTTTCAATGTCCCGATTTTTCAATTTTTTAATTTTTTAAATTGAATTGGATGTCTGGATTCTTCAGTTTTGCGATATTTTAATTGTTCAATGTTTTAAATTTTAGATTTTTCGATTTCTCGATTTTTTGACTTTTCAGTTCTTCAGTATTTAAATTTTTCAATTTTTCAAATTTTTACGTTAAATTTTCAGTTTTCTGATTTCTCAAAGAATCTATTTTTTTTTCCCAGTTCTTCAATTCTTCGATTTTTCGACTTCGTTTTATTGGTTTTTCGATTTCTCAATTTTTGGACAATTATTTCAGTTTTGATATTTTTCAATACTTCGATTCTTTGATTTTTCAGTTTTTCATTTTTTGTACTTTCGATTTTTCAATTTTTCGATTATTTTATATTTCAATTTCTCAATTTTTCAGCTTTTCCATATTTTAATTTTTAAATTTCTGGATTTTTCGGTTTCTCTAGTTTCCAGTTCTATATTTTAATTTTTCAAATTTCCGAATTTTTAAATTTTTTGAGATCTCAATTTATTGAAATTCGGATGTTTCGATGTTTTGATTGTTCAATCTCTCGCTTTATCAATTTTTCCATATATTTGCCCTATTTCGGTTTCCCAATTTTTCGATTTTTGCACTCCTAGATTTTTTGGTCTTTTGATTTTTCGATTTGTTGATTTTTCGATTTTTTGCTTTTCGGTTTTTCGATTTTTCGATGTTTCAATTTATCCGCTTTTTCAATTTTCCAATTTTTTAAATTTTCGACTTCTCGATTCGTTGATTTTTCAGTTTTTCGATTTTTAAATTTTATATTTTCGAATTTTAATTTTTTTGATGTTTTGATGTTTGGATTTCTCCATTTTTCAGTTTTAGGATATTTTAACTTTTCAATGTTTTAAATTTTAGATTTTTCGATTTCTCTTTTTTTTTTGACTTTTCAGTTCTTCAGTATTTAAATTTTTCTATTTTTGATTTTCCCACTTCTCTCGATTTTTCAGTTCTTCAATTCTTCGATTTTTCGACTTCGCTTTATTGGTTTTTTGATTTCTCAATTTTTGGATTTTCTTTCAGTTTTGATACTTTTCAATACTTCGATTCTTTGATTTTTCGACTTCTAGATTTTCGATTTTTTATTTTTGGATTTTCAGTTTTTCATTTTTTATACTTTCGATTTTTCAATTTTTCGATTGTTTTATATTTCAATTTCTCAATTTTTCAACTTTTCCTTATTTTAATTTTTCAAATTTCCGAATTTTTAAATTTTTTGAGATCTCAATTTATTGAAATTCGGATGTTTCGATGTTTTGATTGTTCAATCTCTCGCTTTATCAATTTTTCCATATATTTGGCCTATTTCGGTTTCCCAATTTTTCGATTTTTCCGCTCCTAGATTTTTTGGTTTTTTGATTTTTCGATTTCTCGATGTCTCAATTTTTGAATTTTGCGAAGTTTCGCTTTTTCGATTTGTTGGTTTTTCGATTTTTTGCTTTTCGGTTTTTCGATTTTTCGATGTTTCGATTTATCCGCTTTTTCAATTTTCCAATTTTTTAAATTTTCGACTTCTCGATTCGTTGATTTTTCAGTTTTTCGATTTTTAAATTTTATATTTTCGAATTTTTATTTTTTTGATTTTTTGATGTTGGGATTTCCCCATTTTTCAGTTTTAGGATATTTTAACTTTTCAATGTTTTAAATTTTAGATTTTTCAATTTTTCAGTTCTTCAATATTTTTTTATTTTTCAAATTTTGACGTTTCTGAATTTTTAGTTTTCGGATTTCTCAATTAATCATATTTTTTTTATACTCCGACTTCTCCATTTCCCAAAGTTTCGATTTTTCAGTTCTTCAGTTCTTCAATTTTTCGATTATTCAGGTTTTTGATTTTTCAAGTTTTCGATTTTTAAAGTTTGCGATTTTTCGACTCTGCTTTTTTGACTTTTCTGTTTCTCAATTTTTTAATTTCCTAATTTTTGGATATTTCGTTCAATTTTGTGATTTTTCAGTTTTTCGATTTCTCAATTTTAACTTTTCAATTTTTAAATTATTAGTTTTTTTCGATATTTTGAGTTTTCAGTTTTTCAATTTTTCAATTTTCGGAATTTTTAAATTTTCGATTGTCCAATTTTTTTTATTTTTCGATTTTCCAGTTTTTCGATGTATGGATTTTTGAATTAACCGATTGTTCAATTTCTCGATTTTTAAATTTTAGATTTTCCAATTTTTATTTTTTTGATTTTTTTATTATTCGATTTCGAGGATTTACGTACGTTTGCTTATTTTGTGACTGCTACCCGTACAACGTACTGACTAGTACGTCCGTTTACTACCTTATCGACATCACGTGCTTACAGACTATTTTTACTCCCTTTCGTAAGGTATCGCCACTTCATAGTGAAGCGAGTGAGATGTAAAATATATGTTCATTCTTTTCTACATGGGAAAGTGATTGTCCGTATAGGTTGTCCAACTATAATTACTTGAACAATGCTCTTACGCTTCATGTCAAACACTACCAATGGTGGTACTACCATTGGTTCTCAAAGTTTTAACGTTGTTAATTTTCCATTGTTTGACATGAACCGTACCACTCGGTACCACCCTAACATCGCCTACTTCTAGCGACGACGTCCGCGAAAAGATGAAAACCCGCTACCTCAACAACCCCGACTACAACTTCGAGAAGGTCAACCACGCCAGTAACGCCTGCGGACCGCTAGTCAAGTGGGCGATGGCCCAAATCCTCTACGCCGACATGCTAAAGAAAGTCGAACCCTTGCGCCAAGAACTCAGCTCCCTGGAAAAACAAGCCGAAACCAACCAGAAACGCGGCGAAGAAGTCAAGAACTTGATCAGCCAACTGGAACTAAGCATAGCCTCGTACAAGGAAGAGTACGCCCAGTTGATCGCGCAAGCGCAAGCCATCAAAACCGACCTAGAGAACGTCCAAGCTAAAGTCGACCGCTCGATCGCTCTCCTCAAGAGCTTGGTGATCGAAAGAGAGCGCTGGGAGGCCACGAGCGAGACCTTCAGGTCACAGATGTCCACAATCATCGGCGACGTACTCCTATCAGCCGCGTTCATAGCGTACGGCGGGTACTTCGACCAGCACTACCGCCAGAATCTCTTCAGTACGTGGTGCCAGCACTTAACACAAGCCGCGATTCAGTACAGGCCGGATATAGCAAGAACTGAGTACTTGTCGAATCCGGACGAAAGGTTGAGGTGGCAAGCGAACGCGCTACCTTCGGATGACTTGTGTACCGAAAACGCAATCATGTTGAAGAGGTTCAACCGGTACCCGCTTATCATTGACCCATCCGGACAAGCCACCGAGTACATCATGAACGAATTCAAAGACAAGAAGATCACGAAAACGAGTTTCTTGGATGACTCGTTTAGGAAGAATTTGGAGTCGGCTTTGCGGTTCGGTAACCCGCTTTTGGTACAAGACGTGGAGAATTACGACCCGATTTTGAACCCGGTGTTGAATAGGGAGTTGAGACGTACAGGGGGACGGGTTTTGATCACTTTGGGTGACCAAGATATTGATTTGTCGCCTTCGTTTGTCATTTTCTTGTCGACGAGGGACCCCACTGTGGAGTTTCCACCGGATATTTGTTCTAGGGTCACTTTTGTTAACTTCACGGTGACGAGGAGTTCTTTGCAGAGTCAGTGTCTCAACCAGGTACTGAAAGCGGAACGACCTGACATTGACGCGAAGCGGTCGGACTTGTTGAAGTTGCAAGGGGAGTTCCACTTGAGGTTGAGACAGTTGGAGAAGTCGCTGCTACAGGCGTTGAACGACGCTAAAGGAAAGATCCTGGATGATGATAGTGTGATTACCACGTTAGAAACGCTGAAGCAAGAGGCAGCTGAGATTGGTCAGAAGGTGGAAGAGACTGATAAGGTTATCTCGGAGATTGAGACGGTGTCCCAACAGTACTTGCCGTTGTCACAGGCTTGCAGCAACACGTACTTCACCATGGACAGTCTCAACCAAGTACACTTCTTGTATCAGTACTCACTCCAGATGTTCCTCGATATGTTCAGTAGCGTCCTCATGAGTAACCCCCATCTGGACAACATATCCGACTATCAAGCGAGACTTAACATCATCACTACTGACCTCTTCTCCGTGTGTTACGAAAGAGTGGCCCGGGGAATGTTACACAACGATCGTCTTACTTTTGCGATTTTACTGTGTCGCATACACTTGAAAGGAGTACCCAATGAACCTAACCTGGATCAAGAATTCAGCTTCTTCCTACGCGGTAAAGAGGGAGTGTTTAGTACTTCGACGGCCCCTCTAATCGACGGTTTAAATAGTGAGCAACAGGAAGCTATGATGCGGCTCGCCGCCCGTCTCCCCACTTTCAAGAAACTATCAGAGAAGATCAAAGAAATGCCGGAGTTTGGGGCTTGGTTGCAACAAAGTACCCCTGAACAGTGTGTCCCGAGATTATGGATCGAAGAACGCCAACTTAGTCCTATTGGTACTTCCATGTACCAGTTACTGGTGATCCAGGCGTTCCGCCCGGATCGAGTGATCGCGGCAGCTCAACTTTTCGTCTCAGCGGTACTGGGCGAGAACTTCATGCCGAGTGCCGAAAAGGAGTTAGATTTGGCCGACTGCGTCGAGAAAGAAATTCGTTCGAACGTCCCGGCACTACTTTGTTCGGTACCAGGTTTTGACGCGTCGGGACGCGTTGATGACTTAGCAGCAGAACTGAATAAGCAGATTTCGAGCATCGCCATTGGTTCAGCCGAAGGTTTCAACCAGGCGGATCGGGCTATCAACATGGCGTGTAAAACCGGGCGCTGGGTGATGTTGAAGAACGTACATTTGGCACCGCAGTGGTTAGTCCAACTGGAAAAGAAGTTGCATTCGTTGCAACCGCACGCCAACTTTAGGTTGTTCCTAACCATGGAGATAAATCCGAAGCTTCCGGTGAACCTATTGAGAGCTGGAAGGATCTTCGTGTTTGAGCCACCTCCAGGTATTAGAGCGAATTTGTTGCGGACGTTTAGTACGGTTCCGGCTAGTCGGATGATGAAACCACCGAACGAGAGAGCGCGGTTGTACTTCTTGTTGGCTTGGTTCCACGCCATCGTCCAGGAAAGATTGCGGTACTCGCCTTTGGGATGGGCCAAGTACTACGAGTTCAACGAGTCGGATTTGAGAGTGGCGTGCGATACTTTGGACACCTGGATTGAAACTACTGCGATGGGTCGTACTAATTTACCACCGGAGAAAGTACCGTGGGACGCGTTGGTCACTTTGCTATCTCAATCGATTTATGGTGGTAAAATCGACAACGACTTCGACCAGCGATTGCTACACTCGTTCCTAAACAAGTTGTTTACCCCGAAGAGTTTCGAAAGCGATTTTGCGCTAGTGGCGAATATTGATAATGGTCCGAATGGGAATAGGCACATCACCATGCCCGATGGTACTAGAAGGGACCACTTCTTGAAGTGGATTGAAGGTTTAGCGGATCGGCAAACCCCGGCTTGGTTAGGCTTGCCGAACAACGCCGAGAAGGTACTACTCACGACGCGAGGTACCGATCTTGTCAGTAAGTTGTTGAAGATGCAACAACTGGAAGACGACGATGAGTTGGCTTACTCAGTTGACGAAAACTCTCCAACGGACGCCGCGCAAATTGATGGTAGACCATCATGGATGAAGACTTTGCACAATTCGGCCATCACTTGGTTGCAATTGTTGCCGAAGTCGCTGCAAACCCTCAAACGTACGGTGGAGAATATCAAAGATCCGTTGTATCGGTACTTCGAACGGGAGGTCAATTCGGGGGCTAAATTGCTCCAGGATGTTATTCACGACTTGAAGGACGTGGTTCTGATTTGTCAAGGCGAGAAGAAACAGACAAACTACCATAGGATGATGCTTGGAGAGTTAGTAAGAGGGATTCTACCGGTGAATTGGCGCCGCTATACGGTACCAAGGGGTTGCACGGTCATTCAGTGGATCACTGATTTCAGTCAAAGGGTGAAGCAGCTGCAGCAGGTGTCCAAACTTGTATCAACATCTGGTGCCAAAGAACTACAGGTACCATCAATGGAATTTAATTTCGTGTAGTTGAATTTGGTTGTTGCAGAGCTTCCCAGTCTGGTTAGGAGGGTTGTTAAATCCAGAGGCTTACATCACGGCAACTAGGCAATGCGTGGCTCAGGCTAACAGTTGGTCGCTGGAGGAGCTCTATCTTGAGGTTACCATCACGGATTCCAATGATCATGCCTCCGTTCCACACGACTGTTTCGCTGTCACAGGTAAAGTCCGGATTACAATAATTTAACGAGTACTTAAGGCTCCGCCACACAGTCATTAAAAGATGCCAAAATAAGGCAAAACGTCAACCCATTTTGCGCCTTTATTTTAACAGTTGAAGAGCAGGGCGATACATGTGCGTGCTCATGACATAAAAATCTTTAAGGAAGAGTCTTGTATTTTTTAAAAAACGTAGCAGTTTTTAAAATAAAAAATAAAGTGCGTAAAACCCCAGCGGATTTTTAGCGAAAACTATAACTCGGTGTGCTTTTAAAAAATATCGAGGTGATAGAGAATTTTTTTCTACTTTAGGCGCCATTCTTCGTTTTCTGTTAAAATTTTAGTTCTTTTAGTTATTGTAAAAAAACTGCAAAACATTTTGGGCAAATTTTGGTAAGTTAGGCAACCCAAAATATTAGCTGAGGCGGTAAGCTGTAATTTATGGCCCACACTATTGTGTGAGCACCTTTTAAATACCTTAAGTTTATTTGACCACCCTTTGAAGTACCTGACAATAGCATTAAGAAGGATATGCACTGGACCCTGTTATACCTGATACATACCTATAGTTGTGGTTCGGGTTCAAACTAGGTAATTGTAATAACTGCCTTTACTGAACAATAAATTAATGATTTTATTTTTAATAGCTTTTTAATATTTTTACTACAAGCCGCATATGAACATTTAATCTCTGCAATTGAATTAGAATTTATTAACCCATCTGGAGAAGCTCCTAAAATTTTTTTTCAAATTTGTTAGAGCTTCAAATTTTTTTTTGGCCTTTTCTTCATTGTCAATAGCAAATTGTATAGACTTGGACAATTTTTTCATAAAGTTTTATCGGAATGCACAATACTTTTAACGGTATTTGCGATGTTAATTCCGTCTCTCATTTTGTCCTTTCTTTACTCCATTCTCTACACATTCGCTGACCACAAGTACCTTTTTCAATAGCGTTTACGTTACTCTGTGACAGCTTTATTAATAAATCCGATTTTTTTCTTTCATACACTTCAGGTAATATATCTGCAGTTTTCGTTTGTTCATCGTTGACGATATTATTTTTACCGGAATCCAGACTTCGGATACGCAATTTTTTAATAGAGGTTTCAGTTTTATTAATCGTTTTTGTTTTTTTCAATTTTTGTTCCACAAACGCCTTCGTATACTAACATTGGCCTCCCCATTTTTTTTTTTTTTTTAATAACGGAATTAGGAACGTACCCTTATTATTATAACTTATTGCCGCAGCAAAGCATCACCCTTGATACGATCCTCGTGCAGAAAAACTTAAAAACTTATTCTTTTTCCTCCCACAAATTTATTAACGACAGAATTGTAGCATTCCACAGCATTGTTCTCAATATCAAAAAGTAAACTAGACGACAAAGTTGCAATTCTATTTAAAACTTGTTTGTAAGGTTCGTATAAAACACCATTTGCGAAAGTAGAAAATAAAATATCATTTGACTGTCTACTTTTATAACAAAAATAACTTGCACATTGTTCATGATTGCCAAATATATGCTGGAAAAGAAGGAAGAGGTCTCATTTTTGCTAAATTTAATAGCTGTTCTAAATTTATTCTAAAATTATTTTTAAAAACATTTTTAATAGTGATATCTGCTTTCGTTGTTTTAACTATTTCTCTAATTTTGGAACAATAATTACGAAGTATGTGATTTCTACATTCAATTTTTTCTATAAAATAATATGCATCATTTGGTTTTGCAGCCCGAACTTTTTTTAATACGCTACTATCCTCGTCGCCTATAATTCTCCTATAAAGTATCTGAAGTAAATCCCTCTGAAACTTCCATGGACATAGATGTTTGCTCCTAGTTTTTAAAACAGTTATGTGTTGGAATTTCTTTTTTCTGTTTCATATAGATTTTACAGAAACTACAAAGTTTGCTTTTGACTCCTACATAAAGTATTTTTTTAGTTCTGGCACCAATTATACGTCCTACCCCAGACAGTGCATTGTAACGGTAGTATATGGGACGCAATCATTATCTACCTCCCTCGCCTTCACAGCTAATCGGTACTCTTCTTTACCTGCGTTTTGGTTTGTTCTTCGAAAAGTGCTTGGATGCTCTTTAGAACTCTAGCCTCGGCTTTACGATATGTCGCCTGGGGTATTTGAGGGATATCTAGAGCTGAACAAAATTCTGAAATTTGAGAATAACCTACGACCGTTGATCTAGCTCCACAAATAGGTGCATAATTGACTTTGTATATATGATTTTCAGGTTCAGTACAAAGATTACCGAATATTCCGTACATATGAAATTTGTAGTAGAAAACAATTTTTAAAGGATAACAATTTTCATGAGTTATTTCAATATTATCTAAAGTACTGATTGATTTCAGTGTTGGTAATAAGTGGCCTATGTCAACAATTCTACGTCCAGTACTACTTCCCGACGTGTCATGACTTCTAGAGTACGAAAAAAGTAGTCTCCCGTTTTCGTATGTCCGTCTGTCTATCTGTCTGTCTGGTGTCTGTATCCATTTTTTATTAGACAAGTGTTCTCCGAAACTACTGGATCGATTATTGCCATATTTTATATGTATATTAGAAATATCATGTAGATGGTTAAACGCTAACTAAAATTTGGCAAATCATCTCCACCACCAATGCTATGACGTCATCTCCAAAATTTATAATACAAAGTTTTTTAAATTTGATAAAATTAGATACTCCTGCACTTGTGGTGTGTAAATCCGTGTAGAATTTTCACCCTAGACATCTAGAATTTTTTGACAAAATTTTAACATATCCGGGTTCTCATAAAAAAATAAAATTCGCATAATCAAATTTTATAATTTTTCGAAAAAGCTGGGTTTGTTTTATTCTGTCGAAATAACCTTCCACCAATTTGCTTCATTCAAAATACATTCCGAGAGGTAACTAGGTATGTACCTACCTAAATTTCTAAGATTTCGGGTTGAAAAATTCCAAGATTACTAAGAAATACTCACAATAACGAACCTTCGTACCTACAATAAAATATTCTTGGGAATTTAATTTTACTTTTCTACCTACTTACAGAATATGCCCAACACGTACGAATTTTTATGGAAACAGGAATTTAAAAATAAGAGGAAGAATTATGGTCGGAATTATATATATGAACAAGCATTTTTTTGTTGTGTGTATTGCGAGTAAAGATCTCAACAGTCTCTGACAATGATTTTATTAATTTATTTTAAAACACACATTTGGCTTTTTTCTTTTCTTATGATAGTAAATTAGGTTAAACCGCATATCAAAAATTCTCTTTCAAGGGACTTTATGCTAAAAAAAGGTAGGAGGTGCCATTTAAAATATTATCGATGACGTCATACACCTGTCAAATATCGCTCAAAACTTTTGAAACTAATATTACAAAATGGCAATTTTTATATACCAGTAGACGTGTTTTTGCGTTTTTACTTCTCGAACGTAAGCTAAGAAATATTGTTTGTTTTCTTTCATAGTAGATAAATATTTTAGTTAGTTCCTTACTCTGCTCTACCCGTTGACAATAGCAGTAATAAAACTAGTTACTTATTGTAAACGAAGTAAACGATTTTAAGCCTTAGAGATGAGTAGCAGCTGTCATAACGAGGTAGCATGGGTGTTTTACAAGTTGCATATCTTTTAAAATAGAAATTTTCTTGAGGTGTGGTAGAGCCTTAAGTCGGTGTTTGGGAGTATTTTGTCTGTTTACTGAACAGATGGAGCGATGACGATGTTAATATTTTTACAGGAATTAAGCTACAGGGCGCTCAATGCCGCAACAATCAGTTGCTTCTAACGTCTAGCATCATGATGGAGTTACCTATAACTCTGATGCGCTGGATTCGGGTTTCTGGCGACGAAAAATTATCCACCAGCAAACTATCGTTGCCCATCTACTTGAATTCCACGCGCACTGAGCTGTTGTATACCGTGGACCTCAATATCGCACCTGGTCAGGACCCCCACAGCTTCTACGAAAGAGGCGTCGCTTTACTTACATCTACCGCACTCAACTAAGTTTTAATCTATGCTACATTTACATTAAAAATATATTCTTAATTTTAATAACCACCAAATGAGCGTTTCGTTCCCCCTAAAAATAAGACCACATTCATCTACTGCGATTTATTGAATAATGCAGGTACTGAACATCGAATAAAAAGTACAAACTTTGAGAGATTTATTGCAATAACTTAATAAAAAAAATATAGTGTCCCTTAACAAATAAAAAAAATATCACAATGTCGAAGTGAATCACTAATGAAAAAGCAACGCACGAACGGTATACAAGTAGAGTATTTAAGCCTAGCCTTAACAATAAATTGGTAATCAGTATATCACAATGTCGTTATTATTATAATATACAACAGTGACAGCTACTTATCTAAAAGCCGCGTACGGTAGGTAATGGACATCGAAAGCACAACAATAAATACTGAATCGATAAATGCAGACGAATCGCCATTTTACGCGACTTCCGGTAGTTCGTCGACCACCGGAAGTGGGTCGCGCCAGTACGCGAACTGCGAGTAATCATTGGCCGCTTCGATGAGGGGCGGGAACAACTGGTCGACGTAGTACGTCATGGTGGAATATCTGCAACAAGAGAACCAATCAGAGGGCGCCACGAGTCCACGCACGGAAACAATAGCCAAAGCGACATACGCACACACCGACACACTCTCTCAAAGCTTACCATGTGAATACAACCATGGTGCAGCGACGAAGATCAAGACAATAACATTTAACAAAACACAATAAGTAAACTTTGTATTTTATCATGTCAAGTGTTCCTGGGGATGGTTATAAAGCGCTATCACCGTTAGTTGCAGCGTGAATCATGATTTGTATGGGTATAAAATACAAAGTTTAATAGCTATCGCTCAAATCTGACTCTATTTCATCACTGCTACTGTCATTGTCTTTTAGTTTATTTACTAGCGGAGGAAATACGTCATTGACGACCAGTGACTGACCCGTGTAACTGTAAAAATTAAACGCAAACTTAAAAATGCTGTCCTAACTAACTGGGTAAAATAAAGCACGCCCGTTGTAGTTTTTTTTACGAAAATGGGGATACTTACGTCGATTGGAAGGTTTGAGTTAGTTCGTGTTTGAGCTCTCCTTTTGGATTAATGGTGAAGATCCTAACTATTGGAATACCCACGGCTCTATACGCCCATACGTCCTATAAACCGACAACGTGAAACGTTAGTCGTAAAAATGCGTATTACTTACATTGATCCTATTTCCATATCCTGCGTAAAACGGATTGGATGAGGCCGGAAATAGCGCCTTGATATCACTCATACACGAAATTTTGAACAACTCTGGCTTCTTCTCGATCACTTCTCGATGGAACGCGGTGATCAGCGACGTCGGATTGAGGAGAATGGGCCCATCGGGCATCGTCAGATTACCCTGTTTGATGCTCTTCAAATACTCCCGCGTAATCCGGGCCTGGCCTATCGCCCTCGCACTCAAATACAACAACTTATACCCATTATCCTTTATCTTGTTGAACAGCTGGGCCACCCCAGACTGCGCCCAATCTTTACCAACGATGGGCAAAATGTGCCCCAGGACGTCCGACTTCGTGATGGTCCCATCGATGTCCGAAATAACGATCTTATCGTCCCACTTCCACTTATACAAGTGACAAGTGCACCTGGTGGTCCCTTGGTACGCCGTCGTCACGCTGAAGACTATCTCGTTCATGCCCTCCCTCAGATTCAGCGACGCCTAACCCCCAAACAAACATTACTCAGTCAGTGCTAAGTTTGCAACACTTACGATCTGTTTCGAGCTTAACCGCAACGTCTTCTTGCACTTTTCGTTGAGCGCCTTCGGCGACAGCTCAATAGTGACCTCCTTTTCCTCGTGCGACTGCGTAACCACAACCAGCTCGTCGTCGCCGATCTCTATCGAAGTCTCTTTGGTTTCTTCGGTTTTCCGCGCTTCCACGGCAGGCGTGGTCTCCCGCGACGTTTTGGACCGCCGCCAGTGCCACCACGACGTTTTGGCTTCCGTCTTCGTCACGTCTTTGATCGACTGGTTCGACGGCATGTGCATGTTGCACAGCTGGTCGACCGAGGCCTGGAGGAGAGGTCGGTTGAACACCATCAGACTCGAGATTATGGGGGCGGCGACTTTCCAGTTGTAGTACTTCCCGCGGAAATTCACCACCAAATTCGAGTTCTCCAAGAGCATGGGGTTGTTGCAGAAGTCGCTGAAGGTGACTGCGTGCTCCTCGAAACGTGCCGCATCCGGTTCTGGGTCCCAGCCGCATAGGGACAACGTCACGTCGTTGCGCCCTCTATTGATAACAATATAAACCGAATTAAACTCAATTTATTTGATAAGCTTGAGGAAAAATCTCGACCGTATTTGTATTTATGGGTCTCGGATGGTTGAAAAACTCGGCACAAATTGCATTCTCTAAATTGCCGCCTCCGGCTAGCTTTCCAAGTCGGAATTTCCACAAAGCGATCTGTTGCTAGCTCGAGGCGACTCAGAAACTTCCCGACCCGAAACGCTCGGTTTTACTCACCCTTTGATGTGCTCGTCGAAGTCGGAATCGATCGACTTGCAACCTTCGGCACTGTTGGGGCTCTGCGCCAGTGAGGGACCATTCCCTGATTCACAATCCATGTCGGCATCTGAATGTTTACACGACAAAGACACTTAATAAAAGTAACAGAAAAAAGAAAAACTCTAGGATCTACTGAATCAAAGGAAGACGGCTAACCTGCGTTTGTCTTGTCTTTGGATTTGGAGAAGTAGAGCGCCTGGACCTCGGGTTCGACGGAATTGATCTCCGATAAGTAGATGCCATCGCTCTGGTGGGCGTGCGATTTTTTCATGAACGAGAAGACGTTGCTGAGGGCGAACTGGTCGTTCTTGGTGATGGCCTGCTCGCTGGTGGGGGAGTTGGTCTGGGAGACGTTGGGGAAGCCGCCCCACTCCCAGCTTTGGCCGTTGTTTACGTTGTTGTCTGCAGATTGTTATGTATTACATAGTCGCGGTCGCAACGCCATGGGAAAAATTATTATTTGATTTGGTAAAAACAACACACTATTAATAAGTATTTGGTTAGTAGTACCTTTACGATTTTTCACTTCGAACTCCGAATCTGACTGCACCGCTTCCACCTGAATGGGGGAGTCCGCCCGAGAGTCCACGACGTTGGTTGTAAGCTCAGTATCGCTGAAGAAGTGGAAGTCCGGGTCCCGGATCTTTCTGTTGTTGGTGGATGGGCTTGGTGCTGGTCGGTCATGGTTCCTAAAAGCATTACCAACACAATTTAAAAACAATCAATTTTAAAAATTAGGTTAAAGAAACATGAAAAAAAGAAGAGAAAAAGAATCATAGAGGGAGGAGGAAAAAGTGAAACCAATAGAACATGGAGATAAATTCCTTTCAGATTCGTGCAGATTCTTCTAGATTCTTTTAGAGTTTTCTATATTCTTCGAAATTCTCCTAGATTCTCTCAAGTTCTCTGAGATTCTATCAGTCCTACAGCTTCCCTTAGATTCCTTCAAATTTTTCCGAATCTCTCTGATTGTTCCAAATCTTCTAGTTTCTTTCAGATTCTCGCAGATTCACCTTTCAGATCGTTTCAAAATCTTTGTAGAACCTTTTCAATTTTTCTGGTACTCTTCCAGATTCGTCCAGATTTTTCTAGATTCTTCTCGATTCCTCTGGATTCATCACTCCTCCATTTTAAGAATCTTTCAGATCCTTACAGATCGTTTCAAATTTTTTCAAATTTTTCCAGATCGCTTTGGATCCTTTCAGATCCTTGCAGACGGTTCCAGATTCTTCCAATTTTTTCTAGATTCTTCTAGATTCGTCTAGAAGCCTGAAAGTTTCGCGACCCTTTCTGATTCTTTTTGATTCTTTGTTTCATGTTCCTTTAGATTCTTTCAGATTCCATGAAAGTAATGAGATTTTTCCAAATCTCCTAGTTTCTTTCAGATTTTCACACATTCTTTTTGACTCTTTCGGATTCCCTTAGATTCTCTCAGATTTTTTCAGATTTCTTTGGATTTTTGTCAATTCTCTCAGATTCCCTCTGATTTTCTCAGAATTTTTCACATTTCATATCGTTTCAAAATCCTTTCAAATTTTTCCAGATGGCTGCATTTTCTTACACTCTTCCAAATCATCTAGATTTTTTAGATTCTTCTCGATTTTTCTGGATTCTTCACTCCTTCATCTTAAGAATCCTTCAGATCCTTACAGATCGTTTCAAAATTTTCCAGATCGCTTTAGATCCTTTCAGATCGTTGTAGACTGTTCCAGATTCTTCCAAATTTATCTAGATTCTTCTAGATTCATCCAGAAGCCTGAAGTCTCTCGACCCCTCCTGATTTTTTCTGATTGTTTCATGTTCCATTAGATTCTTTCAGATTCCATCAAAGTAATGAGATTTTTCCAGATCTCCTAGTTTCTTTCAGATTTACACACATTCTTTTTGACTCTTTCGGATTCTCTCGAATTCCCTTAGGTTTTCTCGGACTTTTTCAGATTCCTTCAGATTTTTGCCGATTCTCTCAGATTCCCTCTGATTTTGTCAGAATTTTTCACCTTTCAGATCCTTTTAGAATCCTTTCAATTTTTTCCAGATGGCTTCAATTAATTGCACTATTTCAGATTCGTCCAGTTTGTTCTAAATTTTTCTAGATTCTTTTGGATTCATCCTCAGAATCTTCCAAATCTTACAGATCTTTTCAAATCTTTTCAAATTTTTCCAGATTACTTTAGATCCTTTCAGATTCCTGCAGATAGTTTCAAATTCTTACAGTTTTTTCTAGATTCTTTTAGATACGTCTAGATTCCCTGAGACTCTCAGATTTCTTCCAATTCCTTCTGATTCTTTGTGATTCTTCCCGATTCTTTGTTTTATATTCCTTCAGATTCTATCGGATGCTTTCAGTTTCATTCCTCCTTTCGGATTCTTTCTAATTCTCTCTTCGAGAGTCTTCCAAATTTTTTTAGATTCTTTCAAAGACATAGCCAGGAATCCTCAAAATTCTTAAAAAAATTTCAGTTCTGTACAGATTGTTGCAGATACTTTCAAATTCTCACAGGTTCCCTCAGATTTTCTCAGATTCCTTCAGAATTCTTCAGAGTCCTTCAAATTCTTTCCGATTCTCTCGGATTCTCGCAGATTCCCTCAGATTTTCAGAATGTTTCTTGTTCAGATCGTGTCAGATCACTGCAGAGTTGTCCAGATTCTTGCCAATTTTTCTAGATTTTTCTAGATCCTTCCAAATTATTCTTGATGCGTATAGATTCTTCTAAATTCTTCTAGATTCCTCTAGATTCTTGTATTTTCTTCTAGACTCTTCTAAATTCTTCGAGATTCTCAGATTCCCTTGGATTATCTCAGATTACCTTAGATTCTTTCAGACTCCTTCAATTTTTTTCTGGTTCTCTCAGATTCTCTCCGAATCTCCCAGAAAGAAAAGGAGAGAAGACAGAGGAAAAAGACAATAGAAGAGGGGAGAAGAGAAACGAGAGAGGAATGACAATAGAGGAAGGGAGAAGCGAGAAGAGAAAAGAAGAAGAGAAAGCAAAAAAAGCGAAGAGAGTAGACAGAATAGACAGGATAGAATTGAGAATATGAAATAAAGAACAGATAATAGAGAGGAATGGACAGAAGAGAGAGGAAGCAGAGAGAAGGGAAAGAAAGAGAAGACAGAAGAGTGGGGAAAGAAGAGAAACAAAGAAGATATGAAAGAAGGAAAACAAGAAGTAGAGAAAGGAAAGAAGAGGGATGATCGAGGAAACATGGAGAAGAAAAAGAAAAGGAGCGAGAAGAGGAAGAAAAAAATAAAAGAGAGGAAAGAAGAAGAGCTTGAAGAAAAAAAGAAAGGGGAAGCAAGAGCGAAGAGAGAAAAAAAGAACGCAGTGGGAGGAAACAAGAGTTAAGAAAGAAGAAATAGGAAAGGAGGGAAATGAGAGAGAAGGGAGGAGAAAGAGAAAGCAAAGAAGAAAAAAATAAAAACAGCAGAAACAGACGAGAGTAAAGGAAAAAAAGAGGAAAGGAGAGGAGAGAAAGGGAGCAAATGGGCAGAAGGTAGACGAGACAGGAATGACTATAGAAGAGGGGAGAAGAGAAAGAGAAAAGAGAGACAAAAGAAGGGAGAGGAAAAAATTGAGAGGAAAGAAAAAAGAGAGAGAATGAGAGTAGAAAATTGAGAAGTAAACGGAAAAGAGGCGAAAAAATATAGAATAGGCAGGAAAGAATTAAGAATATGGAGTAAAGAACAGATAATAGAGAGGAAAGGACAGAAAAGAGAGGAAAGATTAGAAAATATAGAAGAAAGAAGACAAAAAAGTGGGGAAAGGAAAGAAGAGGGATGATCGAGGAAACATGGAGAAAAAAAGAAAAGGAAAGAGATGAGATACGAAAAAGAGTAGATAATAGGGAATAAAGAAGAGAGAATACAGAGGAAAGAAAAAATAAGAGAGAGGAAAGAAGAAGAGCTTGAACGAAAAAAGAGAGAAGAAGCAAGAGCGAAGAGAGAGTAAAGAAGAGCTGAGTGGGAAGAAACAAGAGCTAAGAAAGACAGAGGAAAGACGAAAAGAGGGTGATGGGAGGAAAAAGAAAAGAAAGAAGGGTAGAGAAAGAGAAAACAAAGGAGAAAAAATGAAAAAGAACGGAGACAGACGAGAATAAAGGAAAAAAGAAGACGAGAGCAAAGCAAAGGAAGCAAATGTGAGACCACAAAGACGAAAAAATAGAAGAACGAAAAGAGACTTTTCTCGCAAATGAGAGAGCACGAGTAGGGGAGAAAAGGGGACAGAAGTGAAACGAGAGAGGAATGACTATAGGAGAGGGGAGAATGGAGAGAAAATAGAGACAAAAGAAAAGGGAAGGAAAAATAGAGAATATGGAGAAAAGAAAAATAGAGAGGAAAAGGAAAAGAAGGGAGAAGAAATACAAAAGCAAAGAGAAGAGGAAAGAAGAGAGAAGGAGAATGGAAAGAATAGAAAATACGGAGGAAATAATAAACGAGAGAAAGAGAGAAGAGAGTACAAAATGGAGAAGTGAACGGAAAAGAGGAGAAAAAAATACAGCATAGACAGGAAAGAATTAAGAATATGGAAGGGACGAAAGAGAGAGGAAAGAAAATTAAGAGAGAGGGGAACTGAGGAGAGAGGAGAAAAGAGAGAAAAGAATAGAAAATATAGAAGAAAGTAGAGAGAAGACAAAATAGTGGGGAAAGTAGAGAAAGAAAGAAGAGAGAAAAGGAGGCAAACAAGAAGTAGAGAAAGGAAAGAACAGCGCAGTAGGAGGAAACAAGAGCCAAGAGAGAGGAAAGAGGAAAGGAGGGAGATGGGAGAAAAAGGAAGAAAGGCAGAGGAATAAATAAAAAAGAACAGAGACAGACGAGAATAAAGGAAAAACGAAGAGGAGAGGAGAGGAAGGAAGGAAGGAAGAAATGAGAGACCACAAAGACGAAAAAACAGAAGAATGAACAGAAACTTTTCTCTTCTCATAGATGGGAGAGCACAAGTAGGGGATTAGAGGGGGCAGAAGAGAGAAGAGGAAAAGGGAGGGGGGAATCGAAAGAGGGTTGGAAAGAGGGATGTGTGAAGAAGACGAGGGGATACAGAAGTAGATTGCAGACAAGGAAGGGGAGGGGGGGATCAAAGGGAAAAGGGGGAAGAAGAGGGAGATTAAAGAGAACGGGGAAATTAGAGTAGAAAGGGAAAATAACCCAAAAAAAAACGATTAAAGGGAGAGAGGAGAGGAAGGTTAACGCGAAGGGGGAGAAAATAAACAGGAGAGATTATAAAGAAAAGGCAAAAGGCAGTAGAGAGAAAAGTGAAAAGTAGACAAGAGGGAGAAACAAGAAAGAAGAAGAGTTAAGAACGAAGAATCAGGACACAGGGAGAAAAGAGAAGCTAAGGAGAAGGAAGGGAGACACAAAGACAGAGGAGGAAAAAAGAGTAAGACAAAAAAGAAAGAAAACTAAGACATAAAAAGAAGAGAAGAAATAAAAGCGAGAACGGCGAAAGAAGGAAAAGGAAGAGCAGGCAGAAAACAGATACGTAAATGGAATCAAACGTGAGTAACAAGTGACAAGAGGAAAGATAGATAAAGGAGAATATTATAAGAAACGGCAAAAGAGAAACGAAGATTATATAAAAAAACAACAACAAACGATGAAAAAGAGAGACATTGTTTGTGTCTGTTGTTTCAAAACATCATGTTTTAATGTTAAACACAGATGTTGAACTGTTATAGTAATTTTTGCTATAGGCAACCAATAATACTGCTATGTATAATCATTAAAGTTGATACATAAACTTTTTTGAATATTTGTAAAGCAGAGTGGTTTAAATTAGAATATAATGCGCTTTTTTGAGTGATGGCAAGTCACCAAAGTTTAAACTAGTTTAAACTACATTAATATCTCGTTTCCAACTTCAATTCTACACTTCATCATATATTTTAAAATATAATAGAGAATTTTGAAACAGCAGACGTCTTAAATGAATAAAACTAAACAAAACTCACTGCAAATCCTTCAGCTCCGGATCGGACGCGTTGCTCTCAATCGAGCTCGGCTCCGTCGTCGCCGAATCATTATTCTTGTCCACCTGCTCCACCGAGATCTGGTTCACGCTCGAGCTCTTCCTCGGCGCGTTCTTCTTCTTAGTTTTCCGCCTCTTCTTCTTACTGCCCCTGCTCTCCCCGCTCACGTCCTCCTTCACGCTGCCCTCCTCCTTCGGCACGCACTCCGACCGACTCGTGTCCATCTCCAACGAGTCCATCTTGAAGATCGTGTCCGAAATATCCGCGCTCTTGCTCAAATCCTCGACGCTCTCCTTCGTGTTGCTCTGCATCGACCTGGACATCTCCTGCTCCGACATCTCGCCGATGCCGATGTTGCCCAAGACGATCTGCCGCTTGAGGAAGTCGCGCTCGCGGTCCTTGGCGTTCTCGTTGTCGGCGGTGTTGCGGCGCTTCGTGTAGTCGTTGACCTGGTTCTCGAAGGCGGCGGGCAGCTGCTCGGTAAAGCTGCGGCGGCGCGTCTGCGACGTGAAGATGTTCTCGAACTCGCTGACCGGAATGGGGGAGGTGGCGAGGTGCTCGGGGATCTCGTTCTCGTCGTCCTCGAGCTCCTCGACGAAGAAGGCCTCGCCGCTCTCGCCGAGCTTCATGTGGATGTCTTGGGGTTCGCCGTTGATCTCGATGTCCACCTGGGGGCCACATTTAATTAAAATTGAAAAATTAGAGGAAGTTATACACCCACCACTTTCTCGCGACTCCTGAGCACCCCCAGCTTGCCGAAGCGGACGTGGAACGGCGAACAATTGTAATTTCCATCTTCTTGTTCCACCACGATCACGTCTATAGCGCCCGTCAGCGTCGCCGTGTTGATTTCATTGTAAAACTCTTTCACATTACTGAACAGTTTTCCAATATTGTACGTCATCGAATACATGATGAAGTGACCACTCTGACTCGTCTCACTACAATGATCGCGCGAAACAAAAGCGCGTTTTTTATATCTGTCGTCGTTATCCTGGCGCACGTGTCCTGCGCCGCCCGATCTAAAAAAGAAATATCTGATTATGCACAGATAAAAAATCATCTGACGTACGTTTCATGTATTTTTGTGACGATCGATAAATTTCGTAATAGGTGGGGAACGACTGGACGCCCTGCATGACACCGGCTACGAACGATTTTTCGTGTCACGCAAGGTACAAGTGGAGTGCAAAGTCTAGGTACACAACGTACAATTGATCGTTTATTAGACTCAGTGTCGCATGATCTTTGTTATCTTAGCAACAATGATACTTCCTGCAGGCGGCCGAATAAGGAAATCGAAATCGTGTGTCAATAGAGAACGCTGACGTTTGCGACGGAGATGAGGTCAAAGAGTCATTTGCATTATGCAAATTTTACGTAATGATCGATTGAAAATGAGTTTTGATTTGTTTGTGGTTGGTTACATTTAGTTATCCGACGCCGGTTTTGCGATGATAGTTGATTTCGGTCCAAGGTCAAGGATGTAGTGCAAAATAAAGTCGACATAATTTAATACAGAGTGTTTTCACACATTTGATTACTTTTTCTGGCAGCTGAAAGGCAAGACGGCTCGCTTAATAAGTTTATTGTTTACAAGTTGTATTTCGGTGACGTATAATATTATCTCTTGAATATTTAGAATGGTTGTTTTTGTACGAAAATCTTGCTGTTTACGTTGTTGGTGGTTTTTTCTAGCTTATCGGTGAATTATCACCTTTAACACATTCCGATTTAGAGCCGCCGTTGGCGAAACCAAATTACGCGAATTTACAATGGAACTTTTCGCTGCGGAAAAAGTGCTAATAGTGAGTGGTAATTACGTAATTAAATGGTGTGATTAGTGAACCTAAAAAAACATCAACTACGCTTTGTATTGTTACAACTAAAGTACTTGGACATTTTAACACACCTGGCAACTTAGCACCTGTACATCACCTGCCCTGTTTTTTTTTTAAACACAAAACCTCTAAACTTTCTTTTTAATCGAAACTTTTGCCACTTAAGCTTGCTCAAACTTCGAACATTATTTTTTTTAAGTCGAAGTCGTTGGAAACAACAAGCCTATTTTTTATTTTTAAATGACAGAATTCAAAGTCTACTAAAAGCCATAATTTTTACAGTGCAATCACACGTTGCGTTATTATTATTGTTACTAACGTAAGTACTCGTACGTCACGACTTGATTGGCGCAGATACAAATTTATAAAATATTTAGTTATTTACACAACTTCCCTGCCTCTGACAAACAGCACCTACGTCAGGGCGCATTTTGCGATAAGATTTATTTAATAATTTTTCGGGATTGCGTCACTAAGTCAGTTGGGAGGGGTAAATATTTAATAAATTTTAGTTTATTTGCGGCTTATCAAAATTTCAACGAAGTCCTCTGTAACTGTACAAGTTTTACTGTATTTTACTGTATTTTGGGCATTGGATTTACCAAGGTCGGCGAGTACAACGGTTTTGCCATAAATATTCAATGCATGGAAACAATCAAGCTAACCTTTTATGCATTTTTAAAGCTTTCCGCAAACCTTTCAAATGATCGTTGAAATGAAATTTGCTCAATTCTTAATTAATTTCGCCAAGTATTGTTTGAGGTTACGTCATCGACGTTTCGGAGGAGATGCACGACAAATTTTGTAGATAGACGAAGAAATAGAAAGCCTACATTTTTGTATTCTACCAAAACGGAAGTGGCGAGAAACCAGAAACTAGTATTTCTTCATTTTTAGGAATGAAAGTAACTTTCGATTTTCATAGTAAAGCCAAGGTGGAAAGCTTCACCTCAGATGGGATATTAATAGTAGGCTAACTCAATTTTAAAAATAGTCAGGTGAATGAAGTTGCTTACATTATTAATTCCCGAATAGTTATTTTTCTTTGAGTAACAAATTTTCTTTAATCGAGAAAGGTGCTTTAAATTTTTCAGTGTAGTTTAAAAAAAGTCGCTGATAATGGAAGCAAATAAAAAACTTAACCCTTGTTTTGGTCTTTTGTCACAGTCCTGTATATTTTAAAACAAAACAAAAAATGTAGTGATTTTCGCACTTATTGTTGTCCGCGTTTTCTTAACCCCTGCATGATCGATGAAACACTCTGTACATTTTTTAGATTTGTTTGTCAATATTCGTTTATTATAGTGCTATTAGTTTGTTTAAGAAGTATATCACCCGACTACAAAAAATTCAAAAATTACTTTTTTTTCAAAATTTAGAAGCAAATGGTAAAAAATTTTGAAAAATCGAGATTTTTGAAAAGCTACCTAAAAATCCCCAAAAAATTTTGGTAAATAAACAGATCTCGACCAGCTGATTCGAAAAAGAAAAAATGTCATTAGTTCCGGTTCCACATATAGATTTTCCAGTAGTATCTACTAAAATAAGACCGATTTTGGCAAATGAGATAGCCTCTAAGAAAAGAGAGGGCGGGTGGGCGGGGCTAGTACCTGCTAAAATAAGACTGATTTTGGCCAATGAGATACCGATTCGATGAATCGAGAACTTGAGAAATCAAAAAAATTGAAAAGTCCAAAAACTGGAAAATGGAAAAGTTGAAAATTCAACAAATCGAAAAGTAAAAAAAACTGAAAAGTCTAAAAATTGAAGAATGTCATTGTAAAATCGAATAATCACAAACCGAAAAGTTTAAAGATTGAAAATTCGAGTAACGAAAATCGAAAACTCCAGAAATCAAAAAATAAAAAAGTTGAAAAGTCTAACAAGAACTGAAGAACGGAAAATTGAAAAATCGGGACATCGAAAGGGAAATAAATTGTGAAAATTCGAATATAGAAAACTCGATGAGTCAAATATTCGAAAAGTGAAAATCGCCATTTTTCGTTTTATCGATTCTAGAAAAATTTTTGGAATTTTCGAGGAAATGAAGCCGGAAATAACATCTACAAGTCGAAATCTATAAGAGAACGTCTTTCAGTAATTTTTGAAAACCGATAAAAAATTCGCAGAAAATTTGATATTTTTGAAAATACCTAAAAATCTTCGAAACATTCTTCATCTCGACGAGTTGATTTGAAATATACAAAATGTTATTAGTTCCGGATCAAGATTTTCCAAAATTTTGGTTCGAAAATGAATTTTTTTTCATTTCGAAAATTGTCATTATTCATTTTCCCAATTCTGAAAAAATTGCTGGAATTTTCGATGAGATGAAGCCGAACGAAAGTCCCACAAGTCGAAATCAACAAGAAAATGTCTATAGCCAATTTTCGAAGGCTGTTCAAAAAATTCATACACTGAAATACAGAAACTTTTGAAAAGTTGCATAAAAATTCTCAAAAAATTTGAGATATAGATCTCGGCGAGCTCATTCGAAAAATATAAAATGGTAATAGTTCTGGAGCAAGATTTTCCAAAAATTCGGTTTCAAAACGATTTTTTTTAATCTCAGAAATTTTCATTTTCGTTTTACTGATAGTTCTGGAGCAAGATTTTCAAAGATGTGGTTTCAAAATGAATTTTTTTTTTTCAAAATTCTCATTTTTCATTTTACCGATTCTGAAAAAATTGTTGGAATTTTCGAAGAAATGAAGTTGAAAATAACTTCTACAACTTTTGGTAAATTTCGAAGGGTGCTCGAAAAACAGTCAACAATTTTGAAAAATTGGGATTTTTGAAAAGTTGCATAAAAATCCACAAAGAATTCTGGCATGTAGATATCGACGAGCTGATTCGAAGAACGTGAAATGTTAATAGTTCTGGAGCAAAATTTTCCAAAAATTCGGTTTCAAAATGTCTCGAAAATTCTCATTTTTCGCTTTACCGATTCTGAAAAAATTGTTAGTTTTCGAAGAATGAAGTCGCAAATAACTTGTACAACTCGAAATCTACACGAAATTGTCTTTCGGTAATTTTCGAATAATACTCGAAAAACAATAAAAAATTTTGAAAAATTGAGATTTTTGAAAAGTTGCATAAAAATCCATAAAAAATTCTGGCATACAGATATTGGCGAACTGATTCCAAAAACATAAAATGTTAACAGTTCTGGAGCCAGAATTTTCAAAAATTTGGTTTCACATTGATTTTTTTTATCTGGAAAATTCACATTTTTCGTTTTACCGATTCTGGAAAAATCGTTGGTATTTTCGAAGAAATCTAGCCAAAAATAACTCCTGAAACTCGAAATCTGCAAGAAATTGTCTTTCCATAGTTTTTTAAAGATGCTCGAAAAACAGTCAAAAAATTTGAAAAACTGAGACTTTTGAAAAGTTGTATAAAAATCCACAAAAAAAATTGGCATATAGATCCTGGCGAACTAATTCAAAAATCAAAATGTTAATGATTTTGGAGCAAGATTTCCCAAAAATTCGGTTTCAAAATGATTTTTTTATCTCGGAAATTCTCATTTTTTGTTTTACCGATTCTGGAAAAATCCTTGGAATTTTCGTGGAAATCAAGCCGGAAATTTGAAATCTACAAGATGTTGTCTTTCGGTAGTTTTTCAAAAAGCAGTCAAAAATTTTATAAAATTTGTCACGAAATGTCAATTGTTCTACACCGAAATTTTCCAAAAATTCGATCTGAAAATAACTTTTTTTTGACTTCGAAAATAGTCATTTTTTTAAATTACCGATTCTGGAAAAACTGTTCGAAGAAATAAAACCGAAAATATCTTCTACAAGACTAAATTTACATAAAATGTAATTTTGGGAAGTGTTCGAAGGGTCCTGGAAAAACGGTGAAATTTTTTTTAAATTCGATATTTTCGAAAAATTGCCCAAAAATTCTCAAAAAATTCCTGCACATAGATGTCGACCAGCTAATTCGATAAATAGAACATGTTATTGGTTCCGGAAAAAGAATTTCCAAAAATTCGGCTTAAAAATGAAATTGTCAATTTTGATTTTATCAAGCCCGAAAAAATTGTTGAAATTTTCGGAGAAATGAAGCCGAAAATAACTCCTAAAACTCGAAATCTACAAGAAATTATCTTTCCACAATTTTCCAAAGATGCTCGAAAAACAGTCAAAAATTTTGAAAAACTCAGCTTTTTGATG